GGCTCCTGCAGCAGACCGCTAAACTTATAAGACCCGAGGCCGTAACAATTGCTTGAATATCTCGAAGCTCGCATCCCGAAACCATATGCTCCACTTCCCTGAACCGGCCTTCCTCAATCTGAAAAGCACCCTGAACCCCACACCTTGATTCATGCGAACAAATGCACAGACAATCGGTTTCGGTAGTTGTCCCCCTTCTTGGCAATGTGGACGTATCTGGCACTGCCACTGCTGCGGAATCACATGCCTACAGCGCAACCTACTTGTGTCAGCATGTTGGCCGGTGTGGTGGCAAATAACATGAAGCGTATCTGTACAAAACGACAAGTACAAGCATAAAGACTACTTGGGCCAATCCTCCACTTTAGACTTTAGACCATTTGTGCAAAAACTTCGCAACCCGCCTCCTTGGAAATTGCAAGGAAGTTCCCACCCACTTGGTTTGGAGGAGAATGGTTTCGTCAGAGTTCCGGCCACAACCGGCAGCATGACTGCCGGCACCTTCCACGTGACTGGCCAGTGCTACAAGCGCGAGCAACGCACAGAGCAACATTGCCGGCGTATTAGGGTTCTCGTACACAACGCCTGACTTTTGCAGGACGGGGCCAAGAGTCTGCGCAAGGCACTGACACAAATGCTCTTAAAAGCTGACATGGCATGCGGCAGCTCTGCCAATGCTGGGACCCAACCCTAAACCCTACTTCGCTTGTCACCAGTATTGCAAGGTAACCCAACAAACTGTAGAGGCAACCCCATCGTTCACACGATCTCACACACAAGTGGGCCAACACAATTTGATTGCCAGACTTTCTCTCGCATCCTGGCTGTGCAAAGGGGCCAAGTTCCAGCACTGAAAACCCTACGGCATGTTGGGAAGCTGGCGCCAACCCTTTCTGCAGTAAGGCCTCCAAGCAAGCAGGGTCCTGGCATGGAGCTTACTTGGGCGGTTTAGGATTTCTTGCTTCCCAGGGTTTATTGCTTGTTGTTTGTAGGTTACATGGGTTCCCAAACACACTGCACGCGACGCTTTTGATTCAACTTGCCGAGCTCCCAGAGATGGGTGTCAGCCATGCTGCCGGCTGTGCAATAATCGTGCTGGTTAGGCAGAAAGCTTCCTCTCAACGGGTTGTTTCGCTTCGGGATTCTGTTGTCGTCCTCGGTTCGTGTGTGGAGTCAGGGCCTAGTCAGGCAAGCCCCACGCGTCTTTGGCGGCGGGCTTCCGATGTGAGAGCGCCCATTGCCACAGTCGTGGGTCACGGTAGATCAAGTCGTAGCCTCAGTGGCTTTGTCGGTGGTTCGATGAGACCTCCGTTCGGAATGTATATGATTACACCATGAAACTAACTCTGATTTTCTTCTATTCTTCCTTGCCAATCTGTTACATGGTTTGATGTAGATTCGCATGTGCTCCTTGGGAGCTTATTGAATGTTTGCGTTGGCACATTCAGGGTCGTTGAGTCACAACATGTCTGCCCCTGACTGAGCACACCGCAGCCAAGAGACTAAACCCTGCCTAAACAGCCATTCTACAATGCCAACCAAGTCGACAGATCGTCAGGGGTTCAGATTTTTGTCGGGGAAGCTGCGGGGTGCAGGGCTCCCACCTCTCAGGTGCCCTCTCGCCCTGGACCATGGCGATGACACTCAGATTGCAGGATCATACATCACTCCCGCTAGCCACAAAACCTGCACTCCCCTAAGATTTCCTACCACGCCATCCGGGGCAGTTGGAATCCAACGACATGCCGGTTTCTGCCCGATTCTTCCCTGTTGACCCTAAAACCTGAAGCCAGGATGCTCGCGTGGCCAACCATGTAGTTGTAGAGAGGGTCCGGCGGTGGCGGCGCCAAACTGGGCTTTGGTTCACAGTCTGGGCTTGGGCCCTGGGGCTTCCTTATTTGAAGGTATAACTAAAGATCGAACTTCAACTTGAGGAATCGGAGCCCCGCCCAAGAGACTGAAGCAGAGCGCTCACCTCCGCCGAGGTACGTGTATCTTGTGTACCTCACGACTCCCATCGGGGGCCGGGTTCGTAGATCAGGGCACTGGTTGCATGCACCCGCTTGGTGCACAAAGCATCGGCGGAAGTGTCTGCCCCAAACGTTAAACTTCGAATTAACCCAAAGCCCAACCATTCAAACAAAAGCTGCAGCGATGTACCTGACTGAGCCAGACTGGCGTTGCTTCAGCGCGGCGACGATGTCGTCATTTCCCATCTCGCCGTCGCCTCCAAACGCACTGGAGAAGGCTGGCTTCTATGCAGCCCAACTCAGGTGTAGGGATTTGGCCAGGTTTAACAGTTCAGCAAGCCCCATGAACTCCGAAATCTGCTTCTTTTTGCCGGTTCGAGAGGCTGCTGGGGGACTTTGAGGGGCAGAGGCTCAAGTAGGCTGCAAACCTCGGCCGCGGAGAGCGGGAAGAATGACTCGGTCATAGGGTTCAGGGTTCGGGGTTTAGGGCGGGTTTTATCACTCCTTGGCATTGAACAATCCAAATCCCAGGTTTAGGGTCCCATGGGTGTTAAAACGTCCAGTGCCGAGCATAGGTTCAGGTTCACCAGCCTGTCCAGCCAACCACCCAAATTGGCAAGCCATCCTTTGATGGGGACAGGCCAAGGCAACGGCGCGCACAATGGCTGTAATACATTAGGGTGCCTTTCGGGGATCCTATTCATAAGGAACCTCATGATAAACACATCCAGATATGGCTTTGCCGAACCCTAAACCCTAAACCCTAAACCCTAAACCCTACACCCGAAACCCTAAACCCCAATGTCACCTGCGAAATCCTGAAATGGCAAGGCGCCAGGCTCATGGCCAGTTCCGGCGGGGCCGGGGCACAAACGACGCTCACCTTGGGGAAGGGTCTGCTTGAGGCTGTTGTAAATACGTTTCCATGGACCTCCTTAAACCAGAATCCTCCGCAATGTCCAGGCTTGAGGGTTTAGGGTCTAAGGCCTGTTGTGTTTGGTGTTGAGGCCGGGCCCAGACCTAGCAAAGTTGAAGCTTTGTTCCGTGCTCCGTCTCTTCTTTTTCTACTCTTTCGACTCCATGTTTGGATCCTGCCGCCTGCAGTAGTGCAAGAGGACGGTGACCGCTAAAGCCCTTCCAGGTCCCAAGGACTCATACTCCTGGTACCCAGAACTTTCCCCGGTGAGGCTATCACAGGTGGCCTGGGTGGGCTGGGATGGTAGCCAGTTTTGGGCTTAGGCCAGACCGGCGGGAGGTGCCATGTTGCCAAGCCCACCGAACCAAGACGTGTAGGGGCCTGAATACTTAGAAATAAGGTTTGGGGGGCATCCGGGCGAAAGCCTGTCGAAGTCAAGAAGTAAAGAAGATGTCATCTGCATCCTCAACAATAGTTCAGAGCACTGAATGAGGGTTTGGGGGCTGTTATAGTATAATTTTAAAGGGACCCTAAGGGAATACTAGTAGTAATTACTCCGACCCCTGAACCCTAAACGCTAAAAACCCGAACCCTATACCCTAAGGGAATACTAGTAGTTATTATTCCGACCCCTAAGTTAACAGAACCTCCTAAACCCTAAACCCTAAACCCTAAACCCTAAACCCTAAACCCTACATCTTGCTGTGGCCACGTGACGGAGGCCCACAGCGAGGGTCGCAGCGATGCAAAGTGCCTTGCCAGGCCCGGTTTAGGGTTTAGGGTTTAGGGTTTAGGGTTTAGGGGTCTGGGGAAGTGACTGCCACGGGATGTCGCTTTGGGCTTTCAATTCGTGCTGGTGGTTGCTGTGCTGATAAACTTCGGGTGTAGGGTTTTAAGCTTGAGAATGTCAGAGATGTATGAACACGTCAACAAGGACCCGCACGCTTTGGCTTTGCAAAGGAAAAACATGACGCCTGCCAGGACACAACGGAATCGATGCTAACGAGCTCATGACCGAGAACCTGGAAGGCTACTGGGGCTGGCCTTTTACCCTGAACCCTAAACCCTAAAACCTAGCCCCCTCGGAGAGAAATTGGTATTAAATCACCCTGCAAGTGTAATCAATCCAAGCAAGCGCCCACGGACGCATGCCTTCGAGCTCATCTGTATACACCAAATCTCATGGAGCTTAACTAACTCAGCAATACACCTTAAAACACTTCTAAAAGGGCTTCTTACTTTGAATTGAACTATAATACCGTCATAACAAGCTTTTTTTCCCTTCATTGAAGGAGTAGCGGGCTCTGTGGGATCAAGCCGTCGATTTTTACTCCCAGCTGCCAAGCGCCAGAGCCACCCGCCGACTGGCCAGTGAGAGACACGCGCGCCTCCCAGGGAGCCGAAAAAGGTCCCTTTAGGCAAGGAATCGGGTTTAGGGTTTAGGGGTTTTAGAGTTTTAGGGTTTAGGGTTGAGGATCTTGCAAGGTTCCCTGTAGAGTTTAAGGTCTCTTCCGACTATTCCTTTGTACTTTGGGCTTCTGGTGACTACGGCTTCCAGCGACGCTCCCTATTTTGGGGCTCAGGGTGGTATATGCCGAAAGGCGATGGTGGTCCACCATGTCTGCTGCTGAAGGCACGACGCGCAGTGCAGGCAAATGTTGTTTTTTTTGTTGCGGGGTTTTGGCTGTGTTTGTGGAACCCTTTCGTGTGTGAAGGCTAGAGCTATGGCAACACGCTGTGTTGACTCTGCTTGTATCTTGATGGTCTTTGAAAGAACACAAACAAACTTCCGCTGCAGTCTGAAAGGCCAAAGTGCTCTCAAGCCAGCAAGCCTTTTCTGAACCCAGACTCTACTACATATAACCCCTAAACCGATTGTGCACCTCTTTATATATCTTTGAATCCCAACGGGCACTGGGTCGCCACGGTACCGCTCCAAGACCTCTAGGGCCGGGCTCTGGCACTGCTTCGGAGAGGTGCAGGATCTTCTGGCTTTCTATGTCTGATGGCTGGCTTCAGGGCTTTTTGGGGCATGTCAGGGATGTCTCCTACAGACTCACCTAATCAAGGCCGTATACTTCGATCTGCAATCGTGTGGAGCACCAGCAGCTCATATCTAGCACAAAGTGACAAGAAACTTCAAGAAACAGTCATGTGTGACACATGTCAATGCCTGCGCATCATGCAGCACCCAAACGCTTCAATCCTACAAGCCATATCCTCTGACCTTTTGTGTCTCTTGAGTCCCCGGCGTGCTTCGTCAGCATCTCTACCTGGGGAGGGGTGTTCTAAATCAGGATCCCTTCTGGGTGGCGGCCGTTTTTTGGCTAGCTCTAAATGATGGTCCTGTCTTGGGCCTGACTATGAGCCCAGGAAATGCTTTTGGGTGCTGCAACAAAAGCGCATTTTTTTTGTAAACTTTTCGGAACTGGCATATGCCCACAGCACCCGGGTTGAGCCCGGTGCTCAAACGAGGTTTCCTGGAGACGGGACATTGCTTGTACGCCTGAACGGCAGTTGGTCGTGAGGGTATTTGGGTGACCGGGCCACCTACAGTACATAGCTGGCACAGACCCCATCGCACAGCATCATCCGCAGCTGGACATGAGAAAACCGAGCGGGTGGAAACCGCCCTTGTCCAATCCCAGTCGTCCTGATCTAACACACCCACAGACCCACACACCCACAACACCCGCACACCCACACTTGCACGCCCAAACGCGCCCACGCCCGCGAGCTCACGCGCACATGCAAGTTGTTCACGACAGTTTCCTTGTCCGGATGCTCTTCGCCAAGATACTTCGATAAGCTCGTGGAATAAAGCTGCTCAACCACTCAACTCTGCCGTTTCCTGTGAAAGCGTGGCCTGCCAGAACGTACATTGTCATCCACACGACTCGAAGCCTCGGGGCCGGAGTTGCCCAGATCTGCTCGTCTTGACTCCAGAACTTGGCGGTAGAGCATCCCTGCCTCATCCAAAAGTTCGCGATCCCTCAGCAACTCCACCAAGTTCCAATCGGAGCTGATGGTCTCTGTGGTGGGCACCCTGCGCAGACCGACAGACCGACGCTGCCTCAGCTCGTCGCGGAAGAGATGCGCGGTCTCCTCCCGGTGGTCCCTTGCCTTCAACAGTTGCTCAACATGTGCAGGTGGGAGTCGACAAGACACACCCTTGTGCCTATCTACAGAACGGCTCCGTCTCTTCGTGGCATCGTAGCCCCCGGAGCTTCCATCGCACGGCTTACGCCGGCCGCCTTGTCACGCATGCGCGAGGCGAGAGAACCCAGCCGAGCCCCCAAGGTGCCAAGGGGGGGCACTTGGCCATCCGGAGATAGTTTACGGCTGAGCGTCGTAGATTGCAAGCCCGGTATCATGCCGAGCCGCGCTTTTGAGGGGCAAGGATGGCCCTTAAAACCATCTGAACAATATTCTAGAAGCAACCCTCTTAACCCAAGAGAAGGGGCAATAGAAAACGTCCCAAAACCCGCCTGGCTCAGCCGCACTTGTGTCCAGCCCACACGGTTCTGTGGCAGCCATCCTTGTGGCATGACCTGGGACGCTCAATTTTCAGGACACGGAACGTGCATTCAGGGTTGGCTTCTGGTTATGGAGGGAGTCGTGTTGCCTATTTGCCACCTGCCTGGCAGAGTACAGTAACGAGTCGGTAGACTTAGTTTCGCCCAAGCCCTGTCAAAGGCAAATCGTGAACAAAGAGCGACGCAGTTTGCTGTGCAGGGCTTCAGGTTACCCAGCTGGGGCGAGCCACAGCGTAGGGCAGCAAGAACCCTGGCCCTAAACCCCATGAGGCCTCAACAGAATCTCAAGTCCAGTGTCTCAGCGAGCTCTCACGCATGTAGCCCAGTCGATTTGCATATGTTCAGAACAGGTTGGTCCACTTACCCTCTGTCATCACATCAACTGTTTAAACGATTGGCTCACTTGCTTCTGTATTTGCGTGGAAGCCGGTTCATTATTTCCCTTGGCGGTTGTCTTGGGCTCATCATCGTTGCTGCAATGAATGTAGCTGCAAGCAAGGACCATACATCCGAAACCCCATTTGAAGAAACCTAACCAACACCCTCGGGCAGCAACAAGTATGCCAAGGCCTCAAAATTTCGTGTCTGAGCCAAAGTAAGCCCTAAGCCTTATGGGACAGTCAACTACTATCTTTGCTTTCCGTCCTCGTTTGCGGCTTACCGAGCCTGCACACGTTTTGTGTTCTTCCAGTTAAACGGTCTAGGTGCTTGAAAACGGCTACTATTCGTGTAGCGTAAAACGCTGCTGTGTTGGTTTATGGCTTTGGCTTGATACGGAGTCTATGCTTGTTGGGTTGTGGTTTGGCATGCCCCCGCTGGCACTTGGGAGCAGTGTGGCCAGCATGCATCGCTCTAGTGACTCTAGTGCCTGATGGGCTATGGATCGCGGCGTCATTTTAGGGACAAATGTCGCCTCTGCTTTTCTCTTCGTTCACTCTATGCAAACTATATAGACTCAAGACGATGCACCCGATAATTCAGACCAACGAAGCATCAAGACAGAAAGGCACAGTTACGCAGACAGGAACCGCAAAGACAAGTCGCAGCTATGAACTCGAAGGTGTCCGCGAAGTCGCAAACAGCCATCGGGCTCGCGAGGTCTTCCTGTTTTTGGAGCGCTTCTCTTTCGGAGTCGGGCTCATGAAGACTGCATGGAAACACAGCACCCCCTATGCCTTCCCCCCCACCCGTCAAATCCATGGCAAGGGATGCAAAGGGCCCAGGTTCACATTGCTATGAACAGAAAAGCGAACCACTGAACTGAGGAATACGAGCTCTTGAAGACCACGAATGTCTCCATCTCGCTGCAGAGCAGTCGACATCCTGCACCCTGCGATTTTTATTTGCTGCCGGCCTGCAATGGTTTCCCTTCCGACATCCATGCGTTCACAGGACCAAAGCACCACCGGCACATGCGTACCGCCTTGTTGGCATGGCGGGTATCACCTTCCATGCTGGCTTGCCCCCAAGTATTGCATGTTCGGATGCCCGGGTCACACGAGAAGATCTCTCTTCGCTGTGGGCATCGCTTCCTCCAACAACAAAAATTTGGCCGGCCAGTGCTGCAACTGCGCAGCCCCTCCGTGGCGTTGGCATTGGACTTAGCTCTTCCCATCTCGCAGCTCTTAAATCCAAGCGCTCCAAGCTGGCCAGACGACTGCCTGCAGCATCACAGCCTCCTACGACGTAAAGGCAGCCCGAAGTCCCAACGCAGCCACAGCCTGCCCGCGGCGTGGGCATGGGCGGAAGCTCTCTCCATCCCCTCTCCGGATCCATAGCCTCGCAAGTCCCCATGACTCGGCGGGTGCCCTGAAAGCCACCGGCCACGCAAAGAAGGTTGGAGACAGCCGCTGCTGCACACAGGCTACGCGGAGAAGTCATGGCCGGTGCATCTACCCACCTCTCCTCGCGTGTGTCAAAAACTTCTGTTGACGAGAGGTAACCATCCACACCGCTTCCTCCTACAACATAAAGAAAGCCTTGTAAACATGCGGCGGCGCAGTTTCCTCGTGGGGTCGGCATGTCTGCGAGTCGACGCCACTGCCCCTCTCTGGCATCGAAGCACTCCACCGCTGCGAGGCGCTGTAAGTTGTCGTCGCTGCCGCCAACCACAAATAGCCTCGGTCCAACAGCAGCTGCTGCACATCCGTGACGTGCTGTGGGCATTGCTGGGAGCTCCTTCCAAGAGCTGATACCTGGGCACCAAATCTCGGCCACATTCAATGCGTCACCATGCACGCCGATTCCGCCGACCACGCAAACCCCGGCAGGGCACATGGCGAGTACTTCAGGGAGGCAGCTGACATTCTGACTGCGACCTGCATGGGATGTGCAACCAAGCTGACCCAATGCTCCGGGCCCGGCGGCAAACGCTACAGCCAGCAGAACTTCGTGGGCAAGCCGCATGTCCATGTCCCCAGGGCAGTGCCATCCACCTCTTACACACCAGGTATGTGCAAGATCAGGCGATAGGATACCTCCAGTGACATGAAAGACGATGCCATAGGTCACGGCTTCGGGACCGCGCAAGCGAAGTTCTAACGCTGCCGAAGTTACAACGGCTGGGGGTATTCCAGAAGTTGGTGCGAGAATGCAGGACAAGTCGGATTCCGACCCTCTCAGGAAGCCTTTAAACTTTAGCGGTGAAGTCGGTCGCTACTCACTTCCAAGGCCATTGAACCAGCTTGGTCATTGGAATGCCGGAACGCGTCTGTCGTCAACCTGGAAGGCCTCCCTGAAACCTTACCCGGGCATTGCTGAAGCGTTCATGAGACAACCCAGCCCTCAATGCCCTCAACAGGCGCAATTACAAGCAGGAAGGCGCCTCGTCTTCCAGAAAGGGCTCAGGTGAATCCGGAGGCGCCTCCATCTTCGCCCGGGCCCTGTGCAATAATGCTCACCCAGCCGAAGTGTCTGCTGGAACGGTCCCGAAACCCCCCTTCCAAGGCAGCTCGTGGGGCTTAAGAGGGCATAAGAGGGCTTATAGGCTCAAAGCACATTTCGCGTGAGTCACTCCGGGTCCAGCCTGCGGTACTCCGAACTCAAGCACCAGCAGCTGCGGCTGTCGAAGCACGTGGACTGGTTCCTTGTCCCGGGCAGGTGTATCAGAAAGTGCTGCAGGGTCACCAGCTTCCAGCTTGCTTCCAGTGAGACTTATTCCGCCAGGCTTGGGCTTAACAGATAGCCCCGATGTGCAGGTGTATCCTCTTCGGGCAGATGCTGATTATAAAAAGTGCTGCCCGGTTAATATAACCCTCAACTAATACAAAACGAGAAGGCCTTCCACTCCTCCTTGCTCTGACTCTCTGACTCTTTGACCCCGCCTGGCCAGCAGCCGAGGTAGGCTCTGCGAGTTCATCACCTGCGCTTAAAAGGCTTTGGGGGGGCTCATCTTTCAGAGGCTTCTTAAGGTCGGGGGTCAAAAGGGCTTAGGGCTCACAGATGTTGCTTGTGCCGTGGGCCAAAGCTGCCATCTTTTTTTGGGGGGCTGAAGCCCGAAACCTTCCACTCGCTCGTGCGACCGGAGCACGCTGAACTTGCCATCCCCCGCCCCGTGGAGGAACACCACGACAGGGTAGGTCCTGACATGCGGAGTCAGAAGTGGTTAGACTCGTTAGACGTCCAGGTTTGGTGCAGGTCCATACGTGAAAAGGAAGAAGCAGATGGAAAGAGCATCAGCACTAACACATCCTTGCATGGGGCAACCCCATAGACCCTAATTATAGGCCCGCAGATGGAATAAGACCCATGCATGATGAATCCTCCTGTAGAATTAAGATTAGATAACATATAAACCTGTAAACCTCATGCAAGTCCGAGGCTGCAACTGGCTGCCCGTCTCTCGCCAAGTGGAGGGCAAGTACAGCTGGTACCTAGTCAGGACGCGCGGAGGTCTTCCCACGTTCCTTGGGACCTCTTGGCCGGACTTGGCCGATAATTTCTCTCCGACCTCTGTGATACATCGTGCCTTCAGCTGGAGCCCGACAGCAGAACTGCCCCAAAGCCCCTCAAGACACTTCAAACACGTCAGGGGCACTCCATCCCCTGGAAGGGCGCCAGCCGAGCGCGTCGTCCCGGCGCGGGTTCTTCGATGGGAGGGTCTGGCTGGGTCTCGGAGGTACAGTCCTTGGTGGTTTTGGGCTTCTGAAGGGAACTGGCCTCGAAGACCCGAAGCCTGAAGTTCCTTCGCAGGTTGCTGGTGGTTGCTGGTGGTTGCTGACGGCTTGCTGCGAGTACAGAAGGGCCGGCCTTTGCGCTCTGACAAGATCAAACTCTTCGGTTTCGGCCTCAGGGTTTCGCCTGTGGCCAGTTGATGGCGAAGGCCGCGCAACAAAAAAAACCATGCGGGCAAAGGCCGGACTCATGGTAAACCAAAAGAAATTGGAAGGGCTAGGCATCTTCGAGTGATGTTTTGAGCTTAGGTTTTGTGATAGGTAAGACATGGCAGAAGCACTCCTGCCGGCATCAAGATACCCAGCAGGTTACACGGGTACAAGTGACATGGAGTGACCTATTCTGGAAAGCTCCACCACTCGCCCGAAATGGACAGCGCGCCATCACGCCCAGCATATCCCAGCCCAGGTCTCGGATTCTGGAAGAGGCTGCTGGCAGGCAAGCCTCAGTCAACTGAGCCTCTCGGTCTTGGTGTGAAGGGAAACCTTAAGGTGCCCAAAGCCAATACCCCAATTGTGCGATCGCACATGGAAACTCTTGGACTAGGACTAGTTGTAGGAGAGAGAGAGAGAGAGAGAGAGAGAGAGAGACAGAGAGAGAGAGAGAGAGAGATAGATAGATAGAGATAGAGAGAGATAGAGGGGGAGAGCGAGACTTTGGCTGAGGTCAGAATTACTCAAGTCCGCGCTGAGCCTGAATCATGTTGCCTGCGAGACTGCCTGCAGCTGCCTGCAGCTTGAAGGGTTCTCGCCAAAGCAACATCTCCCACGAAGCGCTGCATGTCGGTTACCATGTACTCTGCATGCTATGGTCACTGCGCGAGTCGAGGCACCATAATCCAACCATATCCGACTGACTAGGCTTAGGAGTGTGTTGGCCGTATACGATGGGTAGCCCTACAAACCTTATAAACTGCCAAGCCCTGTTCGTACCAGATGCTGGGTCAAGGCACTCTTCTGTGAATGCCGGGGCCACGGCGGCAGCCACCCTGGGCCAAGGGTTTCGCAGCCCGCTTTTCAACAAGCCAAACTTCCCCAACCTCCACAACTGATGCTGGCTTTGGCACTTCATTTTTTCCCTGTAAGGTGTCGGGGTTTGCTCGCTTCTGCGATGCTTTGTGATCTGTTGAGCACTGCCCTCGTGCTAGTACTGATGCAAGCTTCAGTTGAGAAGTTTCGCTTGGCACAGGTGGTGTCAGGCATGTCTTCGACCGACCTCACGCAAAGCTGAGACTCACATGAAGTTCGAGTTCGATCCCGACACGCCTGGGATAGCGCCATCAGTACCCCAAGAGCAAACTCACATGATGATGTCTCTTGGCCCTGGTGGCGAAGGGCTGACCAAGAGTCTCAAAGTCGAGGGGCACAACATATTACTGAACCTGAGAGCCCAACTTCAACTCTACAAACTATAAACCCTAGAACCCCTCCCCCCCCCCCCCCCCAAAAAAAAAAAAATGACAGGCCATGAGCCAACAAGAATCAAACCTGCAGTCATGGTTTTCTCTACTCCCCCCCCCCTCTCCCCCCCAAAAAGCTTGAATTATGGGGGAAACCTAAAGGGGGGGAAGGGGGGGGGGGGGGGTGGTATAGAGAGGGTAGTATAGGGTATCCGAATGCAGGAGGGTTGCAACAAGGGCTTCGGCTTGGACAGCGCGACAGTTGCCAGGAAGACCAGCGTCAAAGCTCCAGCACACACCAGCTTGTTCCAGTGCCTTTATACGGTTTGGGTCTAGGGTCTATAGACTTTGGGGATTGCTGGCCATCGCAACGAACCCTCCCGTCTCCTGCAGACAAAGCCCCCAGTAATCAGTTTGAATGCTGATTCGCGCAATTCCCCTCCCATTGCGCGTTCTAACGTGTCGGAAAGGTAGCCAACCTCAGCAGACCAAGCTAATCATATGCCCCAACCCATGAATCTCGAACCCCTGCAATTCCCGCTTCCTGGGGGAAGGGCGCACAATGACTAGCACTGCCGCACATTTAACTCCATGAGTTCCTCATGGCCCATGAGCCCCTAGAAGCTCTAAAACCTTGTGAAATACGTAAGCCGCTGAACTCGACCCCTAAAAAACTTAAGTAACCCTTAACCCTAAACATCTCTGAACCCTCGAACCCTGAACCCATAGCTCTGGGCAGGGTGCTGGAAGGGAGGGGGTCCCAGCATGCGAGGGGAACTTGGGCTGCGTGCGCGGCCGAGCTTCGTGGCCTGTCTGGGTCGCAACAACACTTTAAATGGGTTTAGGGTTTAAGGTTTTAAGGTTTAGGGCTCATAGGGCCTCAGCATACAAAGGTCTTGACCTTCCCTGGGATTGGGATCTTGGCCCTGAACCCCATAAACCCTAAACCCTAAACCCTAAACCCTGAACCCTGAACCCTAAACCCTAAACCCTAAACCCTGTAGGGGTTCTGCGGTTCGGTCCTGTCAGCCTCCGCATCTGCACAGCCATTCATTGAACCACATGAGCCCCCTAAACCCCCAAGCCCCAAAGATGTTGTGTCTCCTACATCCTTAAACCACTGCTTCCCAGAGCCCTGCCTCACTTCGGGCCGACCCTGCGGATCAAGAACAGAGAAATCTGCCGTGATTGCGCTTGCTAAGTTAGTCTCAAGGTAGTTAGTTCGTTAGGATCCTTGCCCTAAACCCTAAACCCTAAACCCTAAACCCTAAACCCTAAACCCTAAACCCTAAACCCTAAACCCTAAATGCAGTAGTAAACAGATGCTGCACCACAAGGCGCGGCCTCGACCATGTTCCGGCGCAGCCCCCACGGCACGGCATTCGAAGCCCCGGACACACAGCAAGGAAATGATCGGTTTAGGGTTTAGGGTTTAGGGTTTAGGGTTTAGGGTTTATAGGGCTCAGGGTTTCGGGCCTACAGGGTTTGCGACTCGTAGGGTTCAGGGTTTAGGGCTCATAGTTCTAGGGTTTAGGGTTTGGTGTGTAGGGCTGAGGGCTCCAGGACTCAAGGGAGAGGGGTATGGCTATGCTCCCTAGGTCTGGAGTCCAACGTCGTCAGAGCCTTGTGCTTTTCGGGGGCGAGCTGAGCAAGTAGCGATAGAAGAGAAGACAAAGGCAACGTCGGGAGTCGGGTGGCGCACTTACTAGGTCTTGGGGTTCCCTATAGAGCGCGAGCGTGCATGCAGGCTTCAGAGGTTGCACGCTGTGAGTATAAAAGAAGCTGCAGGAACAGGGAAGGACATGCAAAGGCCAGCTCAATACAAGTGCACGGCCCAACTTGCTGTATTTCTGATCTGCCATGTCGGGATCATGTGCAATGAAGCGCTGTAGCAGCCCTAGCTTGCCTCCACATGGAAGTGCAGTCGATTGCAAAAACTCAGGGGGCCAAGCAACATACTGAGGGGCAGCCTATCCCGCCACAGTCTGGAAGTCGTGCAGCCACCAGTCTCCGAATCAAAGCTACTCCGCAAGCAGGGACTGTGACACCAAATTATCCCCAAGCCCCCAAACCTCATCTAAATGTTCATCTACGGGCCACTCATCATCCACCTCCCCACACCTGTAGCCCTGCTGGGATCTGGATCCCAGCTTGTGGGCTTGGGGCTTGAACCCTTATGAGTCCTTCCGACCCTGTAACCCGCAACCTTTGCCCATGAAGAAAGGCCGAGACAAAACTCAGGTTGTGTGGCCCCCAAGCCCCAAAACCTAATGACGACAGAAACGAAAACTCGACAAAGAAAAACCTCCACCCACCCTACACCCCCCTCCCCCCCCCCTCTCAAAGTAAAACGCATAACAAGACCACCCCCCATAATTACCCCCCACCACAAACCTTGCTGTAAACTCTGCAACCCAACACTCCTTGCCAATCGCCCGCTCAGCCAACTCGAGGGCTTCTGATGCTTTGGCGGGCGTCTGCCCTGGCGCCGAGCATCCCACCCCAAAAAACGCCCTCCCAACAGAAAAACAATCACTTGAGGGCCGAGGGGTTTGGGTCTGTGGTGCGTTTTAGGGCTATCTGTTTATACGCGCACATACTGATACATTTCTGCAACCGTACATGTAAAATTCACATTCGTAGCCGATAAAGACTCGAATCTAAGATTGTGTTGTAACGGAAACACTGTCTAAATTTAGGCTGCTGCTCCCCGATTCCCCACACTCTTGTTTTTTTTAGGGGTCTTGCCAGCATAATCTTTCGACCCCTACTCTGTTGTCAGGAACATGCCACAATCACAGCCATCGGAGTTTCTGGGAAGATTCAAGCCGACAGGGCGCAGGGGCGAGCGATGCTTAGAGGAGGAGTACCCCTCCTCCTCAAGGCATTGTTCTTTGCTAAGGAGTATGCCGGATTTCAGTCTGATCCGGGGTTTAAGGGGCTGATTGCACGTGAGATGCATTGGGGTTCAGAGTTCAGACCCCAAGGAAGCACTTTCAGGGTCAGGGCATATTCCAGGCCACGTGGGGCCCCTGCTTGAAGCCATCCTCTCCACTCAGTGGGGGGCTGTAAGGATCTCTAAACCCTTTCGAGCCCTGGCTGAGCTCCAACCCTAACCCTAAACCACTAAGACGCCCTACTGGATATCAGCAGCCATGACGGATGGCCTTTCAGGCAGCACTCCGAAAGACCTGCGAGTGCTTCGGCGTAGAGGCCACGCAGGCGGGTCACCGCAAGGCACCTTGCATTGAGGGTATAGGGATTCGAAAAAGGCCTCTCCTGACTCCATCCTATGACACTATAGGCTTCCTAGTGGAAGGATGAAGGTGATGCTTGCCCACACTTGGACAGAGTGCAGGGATGTAGGCTCCTTAGATCCGAATTCATCCTGCTGGTTCTCTGGTTCTGAGACATTGTAACACGTGTAGCCTTCAGGGACAATAGGATAAGGTTAAGGTCTTGAGTCTTGTTTCGGTGTAAGGCTGGTTAAATTTAGAGCCTGAGGTTTAGGGGATGGCTTGGATTACAAGCGCTCCACATCGCCCCGGGCTGCAGCCCCTTCGAAGTCTCCCTCCCTGTTTAAGCAGGCTCTCCCCAGCTCGCACGACTACAGCCATCCTTCACATCCACACACATAATTACTCTTTCTTCTGCGGGCGGCGCAGGACAAACAAGCCAACGGCATACCAGGGAAGTCTCACGATGGCGGATCATAGCAGTCAGCTCACTGCTTAAGAGGTCGGCGCAAATGGCCGGTCGGTAGCGAATGGGAGAGCTTCGCGTCGGCGCCGAATGGACCATTGTATAAGGGTCCTCGTTCAAGTCGAACTTCTCAGGCATCGGTGGAGGTCGGGTGGGGCGCCTTTCTCCCTTGGCGTCCGCTGAAGAGTGCCCTTTGGTCTTGTTAGGATTATCCTCTTGTCTCGGGGCAACATCATAGCGAGGGTCCGCATTGGATGACAGCCCCTGTCCCCAGAAACCCGTTGTTATTTGACGAGCCGCCCTGATTCCGGTTGCTCCGCAAGTCCTCTCCCACGTATCGCAACACAGGAAGGTGGGAAGGGGATAGCAACCTTCTAATTCTGGTGGTTCTTGGACTTTTCACCCCTGTGGTAGACTAGGGCAAGACTTTCCGCACGCCTCCTCGCGAACACAAGCTTGAACCCTGGCTGAAACTTCAAACTTTGAGGGTCATCGATAACACATCCTTACGTAGGGGCCTCGTAACTCAACCTCAGGAGCTCGCGAAGCAATCCTTGAACCTGAGAGCTCATACCCGTGACAGCCTGCTGTGTTGCAGTGCAGGGCACTTCCCGCTAGCAACCAATTCAGCCCGGCCCTTGCCATCCTCCCAGAGGTCGCCACCAGCCTGTTGCGGGTTTTGGAGCAGGTACGCTGGTACTGTGGGATTCGGGACTCATCGGCTTTGTCGGAGCCTTTGCATCGAGAGAGAGGGAGTGTGCTGTTATCCCCCACCCCTTGATCCCCATATCCCTTTTTGATGCCACCTGTCAGGCTATTGGCACTGTTCGAGAGCCAGGGCTCTGCCATAGCCGAATTAACTGAGGCCTCCTGTCGTGCCCTTCAGCCCCAAGTCAGCGGTACGGGACGGATGGGGACTAACCTCCCTCCAGGCCACGTTCTGCCCCTACATACCTAGCATGAGCGACCAAGCCGAAGCGGGCTGAAACAACAGACTGCGGGCCTCAAAGCACTAATTAAAGCAGCAGGACTCAAAATCAGGGTCCTTCTCGACCTCGGATGGTTCAGTAACTTCGAAAGCCCGGATGCTGACTCTTCAGCTTCGAAACCTGAGGGGCCCTTTGCACGAGAAACGACAGGAAGTACCTTCTTGTACTTCTGCTTGCGTAGTGCACTTCTGCCAACAGGTCGGCTCTTTGGTCAGAGTGCCTCCTTCCCCCTGAGCCCTTACCCCAAACTTGTGACATGCAAGTCCTGGATGTGAAAGGCCTACAGCACCCGTGACAATCGTAGTTGCTGAGATTTTAAGCCCCCAAAAAGTGTACACTTTCAGTTCTATAGGGGACTATAGTATCCCAAAAATTGTAAAGTGTGCTCACTCAGCTACTAATAGCAGTGCCCAAGTCAAGATGTGCACCCGAAAAGCATGCCCCACAGTGGACCATCCTGTCCGCCGACTCGAAACTGGGAAGGGTCGTAGGAAGGGCTCAGCGAAGGCTGCGCAGACCGCAAGTCAGACCGGCTCTGTCTCATTCTTCATATTCACGTTCGACCGCCTGGGCAGAGAAGAGATGCTAAGGATGTACAAAAACATCAGGTTTTGCGTGGGCCTCAAGTGTTCATCGGGGCTTCGTTGTTGTGGATTGGGAAAGCGTGGTTCTAACTAACGCGCGCAAGGCTTGTGAGCAACGCTGCGGCTAAAGACAAGTTGTCTTGACGTATGCCTAGCCGCCTAGGAAGTATACCAACGCCAACAAGCAGCAAATCCTTAAAAAGGACCTACCGTGACCTCATAGGCTTGAAAAGGTTTCTGGAGCTTATGGGGCTGTAGCAGGGCTTGTAGGGGTTTGCATAGGCTTTATAGGGTATATGGGATTTTTCCGAAAATAGGGGTACCCTTTTTGGGGGGTCCCCTTTCTTGGGACATACCCATAGGGGCTCAACTCCGAAGACGCTTTCATTCTCTGTGCGCCTGCGGGGCAGCACCGGAAGAGATCGAACGCTGGCTGCACATCGGCCGAGTCCATCTCAGGCGCTTCCGGGGTTTTGGGGGCTGAGGGATGTTCAACGTTGGGATGTTCCCCTTTATACGAACAGTCCTTCATTGGGATGTATATAGTAACCCCCTATGATAATTATCATCCGGATTAAGGATTGCTACGATAAGGGTGAACGTCCCAAGAGAAGGGTTTAGTTGCGAGCCTGTAGCTGCTCAACAAAAAGCACTAGGTTGCCCAGCTTAAGCTAAGACGGAAGAGGGCGCCCCTTGCTGTTTCATGGGTGCACAAGGGATCCTAATCCCAGAAAAGATTTTGTACAACACCCCTAAAGCACCACAAAGGCCAGGAAGAAAATGAGCCGGCGCTGCTCGACCCCTGTGAGCCCAAACCCGACACCCTAAACCCTTATTTCAGCCCTTCCCAACTTGAATTGTCATTGCTTTTCATACCCTATGTAACCCTCAGCCCAGAACCCCTAAACCCTAAACCCTAAACCCTGAACCCTGAACCCTGAACCCTGAACCCTGAACCCTGAACCCCAAACCCTAAGCCTAAACCTTAAACCCTGAACCCTGAACCCTAAACCCTAAACCCTGAACCCTAAACCCTAAAGCCAATCAATCCCAAAGCTTCGTCCGTGAGCCTGCGGCGGCGGCGAGGCTAGGTGCTCCAAGGGAAGGGAAGCTTCGATTTCCGAGGTCTCCTGGATTCTGTGGGCCTTTTTGGGGGTTGGGGGGGGGGGGGGGGGGGGGGGGGGGTGTGGGTTCAGGGTTCAGGGGTTTGGGGTTTAGGATTTAGGGTTCAGGCTTGGCGGGGTGGGTTGGGCGGGGGGTGTTCGGGGTTGAGGGAGGTGTGTTTGGCGTTTAGGCGCATCTCAGGGGCTGGGCTTTGTGGGTTACAGTTTTGGAGACTTTGGGGGGTTCAGCAGGCTCGGGGATTTCAAGAGATATGTGTGGATGTCAAAGTTTCGGGTGCGAGTCTGTTCATGGGTGGAACCCTTGGCTCTCTCAACCTTGCCTTTCACCTGAAAGCCTAAGCGCCAGAGAAGGCATTGAGCCGACAAACTCGACTCCCAGATCACTCTACTAACCCCTAAACCCCAAACCTTTTGAACCGGGAAGCTGCTTCATGCCAGGGTTAAACCCAAAACCCCTAAACCCCAAACCCTGAACCCCAAACCCTAAACCCTAAACCCTAAACCCTAAACCCTAAACCCTAAACCCTAAACCCTAAACCCTAAACCCTAAACCCCTCAATGCACATCGGCCATCTTCTGGCTCCTCCATGGTAGTGGCATCCGCAGAGCCAGCCGCCTCTTTTGGGGAACGTTACTGGAGGTTCATGAGGTTTAGGGTTTAGGGTTTAGGGTTTCGGGTTTAGGGTTTAGGGTTTCGGGTTTAGGGTACCTACTAACCCAATTATAACTGTACTTATAACCCACTTATAAGCCCCGTAAGTGCCCTAGTATGGTTATAAGTACCGATATAAGTACAGTTACAATTGCTTAGCAAGTACCATGAACCTCCAAGGAACTCTGGCGATCATTTGGGGTTTCCGACGTTCGGGGTAGCTTATTGGGGACCTTATATATATATATATGTCTATATCTATATGCTAAGGAGATCCTACGATTTGGGGATCTATCTTGGGAGCCCCCCATTCTCGTAAACCCCCATTTAGAAGCCTGGAGCGCCGAAGCGGTTGTGGTATCAGGTTCTGAAAAATCACCATGGCTACTAGGGCCTTAAAGGGCCTCAAAAGGGCCAACCAGACATAAAAGACTGGGACAATTGCAAAGCTGCCGATGTCTCATGGGAGTTGTCCAAGTTCAAGTACATCGACGGTTCTGAGAATTCGAACCCGAAGAACTGACTCATTAGAGCATACATCCGGATTCGGCTCCTTCTCTCGCCAAGGGTTTTGGGACCTGCATCCATGTGCACCAACCCTGAACCCTCAACCCTAGACCCTAGACCCTAAACCCTAGATCTTTTTTTGAACCCAGGCTGTGAGCATCAGCTGGGCCCTAAACCCTAAACCCTAAACCTTAAACAAATCCGAGAAAGCTGACATTCCCGTCGCGCAAGCCTCCTCGGTGGGAACCTCCGACGCAGCGTCTTTCCACGCAGCAGGCGGCACCTCCGCTGCGACAAAGGGAGGCCTTAAACAAGAACAAAAACGGCTTGGGGTTTAATTAGGGTTTAGGGTTTAGGGTTTAGGGTTTAGGGTTTAGGTTTAGGGTTTAGGGTTTAGGGTTTAGGGTTTAGGGTTTAGGGTTTAGGGTTTAGGGTTTAGGGTTTAGGGTTTAGGGTTTAGGGTTTAGGGTTTAGGGTTTAGGGTTTAGGGTTTAGGGTTTATAAGGTTTAGGGTTTAGGGTTTAGGGTTTAGGGTTTAGGGTTTAGGGTTTAGGGTTTAGGGTTTAGGGTTTAGGGTTTAGGGTTTAGGGTTTAGGGTTTAGGGCTTAGGTTAGGGTTTAGGGCTTAGGTGGCTTCAAAGGGGCTTGGGCTGAAACAAAGGAGCCAGGCTGTTTGGGTAGAGGGCCTTTTGCCACCTGCCTAGCAGCCTCGCAACCACACCGCAGGGGATGCAAGATGTCCATCGGAAGTGCGACTAAGAAAACGAAAAATGGAGAAACGACCCATCCTACTCATATGAGGTCACCGTGCAGGCATGACGACACCCACCAACACTAGCCACCGCATAATGTAGGGTGTAGCTACCCAGCTCGGCCGGTGGCACTGCCTTGGTACGAGTTTAACACGTGTCCACATCTCATCATATCTCGAGAGTATGGTCCTCTTGCTGGGCTGCTAATACACAGCCTTCTGTTTAGGCCACCCAAATACGGACCATGCATTTAGAGGGCTGCCCATGTAGCTTCTTGCTGGTGTTGGGGTTGGGGATTTAGGCGTTCTACGGCCCGATGCCTCCCCTTGTTCTATAGGTCTCCTGTTTCTCGCCGGGGTGGCGTCCGAAGACAGCTCCAAGGCATGTACCTAGACTACGCTTACAAAACAGGGTTTAGGGTTTCGGGTTTAGGGCTTAGGGTTCAGAGCACCATAGGCCTCTCCAAACAACCCCTCGATCCTGAAGCGCAACCTCAGAAGCCTTGCCTCCGACAGAGGTTGGGGCTGCGCAGCTTTGCTCTTCTGGCAACCCATGGCTGCGTTCGATGGCTGTGACCTGGAACACTTCCCTTTGAGCCTGAAAAGCAAGCAGCTGCTCTTCCGCGCACCGAGCTCCGGGGCTTGTGCTCTGGCTATTGCACAGTTCTTGGGAACCTGCACACTCTATGAAGTTTAGGGATGTTTAGGGTGCATCTTTATATGGGTTTTCGATCATGACTCCCACTACACGCGTGGGCTCGAGCTAGGTCAAAAGATGGACCCCTTCCCACTGAGCATTTGGAGGCCATGGCGACTTCAGGTTGCGAGGAGCTTTGCCACGCAAGGACTTAGATCATGCAGCTCGCGTCCATCCATTTAGATGGCTGAAAAATCACTCTCTGCCACCCCTCTGCCGCAGCCCGTCGAAGCCGCAACCACCCTAATAACACAGAAAACTGCCTTGGTCTCTGTATACTAGAGCCTCACTCACTGTGGGCAGTGGCAGCGGGTGGTCTTGTGCACAGCTGATGACAAAGACATCGCGTAAAGATGCCTGAACCCAAGATGCAGCAAGTCGGGTTGGGTCTCATAGCGCTTCGGGAACAGAATGTCGAATCTACGTCCACGTCCATCCAGGCGTCACCAACAAGATAACGAGGGCATTGCCAGGAAGCATCGGGGCAACTCCGGCATGTGGAAAAGCCCGCCCTTCCTAGCCATGAACTTCTAGTTGCTTAAGAACCCCCCCCCCAAAAAAAAAGCACCTTCTTGCTTGCTAAGGGCATTTTTGGGGATTAGTTTAGTTTTTTTTTTTTTTTTTTGGCGGGGGGTGTTCTTAAGCAAAAAGTAGTGAACAGTACACCTCACCCTCCCGGTGGACACCAAGGCTGCTAGCATGCGTGCGCTTCGTTTGCTGCATTGGGGTTTAGGGGTTAAGATTTAGGATTTACGATTGGGATGTTCCCACTTATACTAACAGTCCTTAATCGGGATGATAATAGGGGGGACTAGAATCCCGACTACGGACTGCTAGTATAAGGGGGAACATCCCAAGTTGAGGAGTTACAGAACATGCTGTGTCGCTGGGCCGAACCACCGGGGATGGCATTGAGGCCTTGTGGAACCTCCACCGTGCTATGCACATCCAGTGCGCCGTGGCGCGAAGTTGCAGAGTTTAGGCTGGATCCCATGGCCCTAACTCTTGCCACCAGACCCTTTTTGCATCCGGGCCTCGAACAGGTTCCTGGGAACCAGACCCTCTCTCTCTCAGGCATACCCTACAACCCAAAACTTCAGACTGGAACCTCAACCGAGGAATACATGCACAACAGCCGCAGAGCCTTTCAGCTCCACTCCACGATCCCCCCCATGCCCTGCACCGAAGAGACATCTCAAACTTCGACTGCCCCCCCTTGCAAGTATTCCTTGAGGTCTTAAAAAGGGAATTTTGAAGGGTACTATGAATTCGTTCCAGGTACCCTGAAAGCCCATACTCTGCTCCTTGAATCCTAAGCTCAGCCCTCAGCGGTGCAGCATGTGAAGATGGAGAGGCAGCGACCTTCCTCACGTCCTTGCAGCCTTGGGTTTGGGGTTTGGGGTTTAGGGTACAGGGTTGAGGGCTCAGGGTTCGGCTTCTTCCAGATTAGACAAACAAAAAACAGTTGGGAGACCTGTACTTGTCCAGTGAAGGGTTTAAGTGGTTTCATGATTCATGGACTTCAGATCCGGCTCAGGCCTGCCTAATGTAGGGTTTCGGGCTTATAAAGCTTAAGACCGCGGGACCTTTCGGCAGCTATCGTTGTGCTGCCCGGGGAGGTTCCCCGGAGTTCCATGCGTAAGGTACCAGTAGCTAGTGGCAGTCCCAGGTTCCTAAGGTTCCTACATCCCCGAGTGCTTTGTATGCTCTCTCCTGGAAATTCTGGTCCCCTTGAAAGGGTCCTTATCACAAGGCTAGGGTACCCAAAAAAGGGACCGTAATTTAGAGAACTGACCCATGTGAATGTCAGAGCCCCTGAGGAGACGATGGCTTTCCAAGCGGCACGACGCGATCTGGGTGGATGTCAGATGCCACGGGTGGCAAGTCGGCCTTCGCGGACTCAGAGGCGGGCTCCGCGAGCAACTCATGTCTTACCTGGTGGCTTGAATCATTCCGAGGGAGCCAGGAACTACCTTAAACAACGTGATCCCCTGAATCAAGGGATACTGACCTCTCCTGGTTTTACAAAGTGGGTTGAGGTTCCCGGGCCCGGGAATTGCCGGCAGAGCGAATTAAGCCCCTAGAGCCCTCAACTCCACAACCAAGCCCTAGGCCCCGTAGGCTCAGAGTATGGTCCGGCCCTGCTGATGAGTTCACGTGTTCTTCAAAAGGGTTTCCCCAGCCTCTGGAACCTATCTGACACTCAGCCGGCCTTCATGGCTTCATCGGCTGGAGGCGTAATCGTGATGATAGGTGCCTGCAGCATTCAGAGTGCGGGGCCTCTGGGTGTCATGTCCTTCATCCAGTGCTGCCCACTGTACACGCGGCCCGCGTGAACCGCTCAGATCTTGCATCGTGCCAACGAATACTTCACGTGCTGCTGCTAGCCCCGCCTCTTTTAACAGCCCCCAGCACGTGCAAGGTCTACTGTAGCACATAATCCGGCCTGCCGATGTGAGATGACACCAGGAACTGATCTTTATGGCTTTTTGCCATGAAAGAGCCCAGAGCCCTTGAACTTAAAGCCCAAAACAAGACCCGAAACCCGAAACACATCCCCAGCCCGAGGCAAAAACGACACCGAACCCCCGCAGCTTCCCACGCGAAGGGAGCCTGGACCCTTTTTCCCAAACCTTGTTGCAACTGGACTGCGTACAACTGCCTTGAAGGGAAAACCCGAAACCCGAAACCCTAAACCCGAAACCCTAAACCCTGAGCGCCTCCAGTTGTGTCTCAGGCTCTGCCTCAGAGTCCATCTGTGGCTTCTCCTCCATTTCGTCATCCTGGCGGGCGTCCTTCAGGTGCTTCAGGGTTTAGGGTTTGGAGGGTTTAGGGTTTTAAGGGTTCAAGGGTTTCAAGGGGTTCAAGGGGTTTAAGGGGTTTAAGGGGTTCAAGGGGTTCAAGGGGTTCAAGGGGTTCAAGGGGTTCAAGAGGTTCAAGGGGTTCAAGGGGTTCAAGGGCTTTAAGGGGTTCAAGGGATTCAAGGGGTTGAAGGGGTTCAAGGGGTTCAAGGGGTTCAAGGGGTTTAAGGGGTTTAAGGGGTCTAGGGTGTTTCGGGTTTAGGGTTTAGTGTTTAAGGGGTTTCGGGTTAAAGGGGTTAGGGTTTGGGGGCTTAGGGGGTTTAAGGTTTAGGGGGGTTCGGGTTTAGGGTTTCGGGTCTTTTGTGTTGTCACCCGCCTAGCTGACTGTAGGACGCACTGCAGGTTTCGTTTACGGCTTAGGGTAGAATATGGGTAGTCATTTAAGTTTGGGGTCCCTTTTGGACCCTTCAATTAAGGGAAATGTAGAGAACTGCCCATATAGTGGTTCTATTCTGATAATATGGGCATTGCAGCAGTTACACCCTTCCCCAAGTTACGGCTACCTTCAATGGACCGAATTTCGGGAGCAATATGGATTCAAGATGGGTTTAGGGTGTTTAGGGTTTTGGGTGTTTATAGGGTTTTGGGTTTTGTTAGGGCTCGATTAGGGCTCGTACACATCCACAATCAGAGCCCTGGCGGTCCTTGGGTGCCGGAGCTGCCTGGCCATTGCTACTTGAGCAGCCCATGGATTACCCCTGCCCGAAGCGGGGTGGGCAGGGCACTCCGTGGAATCCCTGAGCCAACAACGGCGGTTTAGGGTCTAGGGTTTAGCGTTTAGGGTTTCGGACCAGACTCCAGGCTCAGGGTTTTGAGGCAATGCAGGAATGAATCGCTCGCGGCCGCTCGCGTCTCTAACAGCCCAGGCAAGGAGGGCGGGTGTGGGATATCCAGTTCGTGTCGTAGGAAAAAGGCCTGATTGGGGCAGGGGCTTCGAAATGCTTCGAAGGTCTCTGGAGCTGCGCTCCTCGTGATTCTTCAAGCTGCCAGACCTACATCTCACAGGTTCCAGTCTATTATTTGACCTTGGGTTCTTTGCGGCGGGACTCGGGATTTAGTCCGGTAGTGGTTGGGAAAATGACGGGAGTACGTCGCTACTATCTCTATACCCCTGCAGCGGGTCATGGCGGCCAAGTGGCCCGGTTGTTTCTCAGACACGCCCAGGCTACTGTACGACTGATATCAGAACCAAAAAGTCGCAAATACATGGCCAGGGGTCTGCTTCTCCCCACGGCCGTGCAAGCAGCGGCGACAGGGCTGTGCAGCGACGGCGAAGTTGGGCTGTATGGGTTTATAATACTGCACGAAGAACTCAGCACATGCCAGCACTGTTGTTGTAACAAATGTGCACGCATTTGCTTGCCTTCAAATGTCTCAAACGTCATGTCTCGAATTCGTGCCCGGGAATGGGGCGCCGTGCGAACTATCAAGGAAGGATGTGTGGCAACCGAATCCTATAGCCCAAAACGCTGAACTAAACCCTAAACCCTGAACCCTGAACCCTGAACCCTAAACCCTAAACCCTAAACCCTAAACCCTATATGAACCCTAAACCCTAAATCCTACACCCAACCTTCCATTTCATGCGTGATGAGCTTCGCTCGGCTCGAACTTTCATGCAGGATCGCTCGAGTCGATCATACAGCATTGGCAAAAGATGGTGGCGCTCCTCCCAGCAGAGCCTCAAAGCAAACCCTAGGGTTTGGGGTTTGGTTTTTTTCCCCACCCCTTTCGCAAGGGGAAAAGGTCAGATCACACTACGGCCATACTTCAGGTTGAATGCTTGACATGGTCCAAGGACGATGGTATTGGGGCATATCCGTCGGACAGAAGCCAAGTGCAAGCAGCGAAAGCAGAAACCAAATGATCCGAAGCAACCCTAAACCCTAAACCCCAAACCCTAAACCCCCAAAGTCCAGAGAACTTCGGCCCTAAACCCGAGTAAGCTCATGGCTTGGTCGGATCTCCACGGACTCAGAAATGTCGCCCGGCGGCGGCACCGGGGTTTCCAAGTGGGAGCTGATGGCCTGCTTTTGGGGTTTAGGGTTTAGGGTTTAGGGTTTAGAGTTTAGGGTGTTCCCCCTCATGCTAAGAGTCCTTAGTAGGGCGTAGAGTACCCCCCTATTATATACTCCCTATTAAGGACTGCTAAGAGTCCTTAACAGGGATTCTAGTACCCCTTCTAACAGTCCTTCATAGGGATTCTAGTACCCCCTAGTATACTCCCTATTAAGGACTGCTAGTATAAGGGGAAAACCCAAGCCTGCCCGGAGGTCGCCGACATGCCAACGCGAGCAAGAACCCGCGCTATGCAACTGCCTAAGGAGACTCGTATTCCCCTAAAGAGCCCCCCTATGTCTACCTTATCTAGCCCCTCTAAACCCAAGTAGCCCCTAAATAACCCCCAAATAGCCCCTGAGGTCCTTGCGAAGGGTCCCTCCTTGAGTCCCTTGAAAGACAAAGCACAAACGGCGGCGGCCTGTACGGAGATTTCTGCTGGGATCTCTTCGCGAATCGTGCTGGGGCCCGCGTGGTAAGATGGAGCCGCCTTCTCCTGCAGGGCATTGCACGTGCATCCTTCTGATGTAGAATGTTTCGTGCGATTTCTTCTTGCCCTTACAAAATAGCTCAACTCGAAGGACGTTTAAACTTTGGGGGTTCGCAAGCACACAGCATTCTGACGAGCCCCGGTGAATTTTGAATTGACAAAAAGGGCTCATGATAGTTAACAATCTTGGTCGCAGGCATCTCAATTATCTTTCGTGTCCGTTAGTACAAGTATCCCCACAATGAAGCCCTAGAAATCCGGGGCTTTGGGAATACTACATTTTTTGTGGGCCTCTTTTCGCTCGCTTCGTTCAGTAAAGCCGTGAGCGCAACGAAGTGCGCGAATGAAACGAACGAGCGAATAAGGCAAGAGGAAAACATGCACACCGCCTCTGTAAAAGACTTAAATTCACGTGGCTGCTTTGAGCCGTAAATAACCTGTGCTCTTAGGAAACCGCTGCAAAATCTACAACGCTTAGGGAAGGTGAGCCTGCTTCTTGTTACAGATGGCCCTTGCCCGGAAATGCTTGAATTGGCCGTCCTCGGAAGCCTCGGTAGCCTCAGGTTTAGCGCTTTGGGGTTTAGGGTGGTTCTACCAAGGAAGCAGGGTCGCATCATGCCTTGCCCGTTCGGGAGATGCTCTTTCTTTGCACAGTTCGTGAGAAGATGCAGCAGGTTCTCTCGTGATTCCTTCAAGTGCTCTGCACTTCAACCCTGATCGCTGGCTCAGAGTTCTTATGGCAACCCTCCCTAAGTGCGCATAATGGCATAATGGCATCCATACCTCCAATCCCATCCCCAAGCCTCATGAGCTTGCCGAGGGGCGTAGTCAGCAGAGGCAAGGTCGGTAGATGCATCTGAGTCCAGGCTGGCTAGCTCCATCATGGCGGTTCGCTGATTTTTGATCCTTGGCTTAGGGTTTAGGGTTTAGGGTTCTGGGAAGAAAGTTATTGGCAACTAACCCGAAACCGTAAGCCCAAAACCCCTCTACTCGACGCCGGTAGAAAAAGACGACGCGCCGGTGGCAGCCACGAGAGGCGCGGGCTGCAGCATATTTAGGGTCAGTTGACTGAGAATTTCTGGACGGGTGGGGGGGGTGGGGGAGGGGGGAAGCGGGGGAGGGGGGAGGAGGGGGGCTGCATGATGAGGATGTATGATGTCACCCTTCACAGGAACGGTTCCCACCATCATGCCAATGGCAAGAAAAACAAACCAACCGCACACTGAGCTGGCGCGTCGTGGTCTGATCATAGCTGCTTTGGCATTGCCAAGCAGGCGCATTGAGCCCCTGGGGTTTAGGGTTTAGGGTTTAGGGTTTAGGGTTTAGGGTTTAGGGTTTAGGGTTTAGGGTTTAGGGCCCCTGCATCCCAAGCCTCTTCAACCTTCTCTCGGTGATTCCGAGGCGCCGCTGCTTGGGTTGGACGACCCCCTTGCTGCTTTGGCAGCCCATGTTTGAGGGAGTCTTGCTCCCGTGGGCTGCGATCGCTGGGAGCCGTCTGATGCTGCAGCCGGCGACTGGCCTGTGCATCGTCACGACACGGTAGTCGGGAGTCTAGGTTTTTCGGGTTGCGGTTCGGCCAAGAGAACTTCACCTTTTACGTGCGCAAGCGGCAGGTTCGCAATTCGAGCTCAGATTTCAGCCACCGTCATTCAGGACCAGCAGATTAATTAAGGCTAGAATGTCGGGCTTAAGAGTCGAAGAAGTCTTTGCCACACCTACATCCGAAAGTCCTAAAGCCCTGAGGTTCTGGTCCGGAATGGACCAGTGTGGTGCAAAATCTGGATGGCACAAGCATCCCAGGGCTCAGAACTCTTTGGCCACATGGGGTTTCAGGATCTTAGGGTTTGAGGCGATTAGTTTTTTTCGCAGTGTGGTTCTGGGGGAGGGCCGGCACCCTACCAGCTTAGGGTTTAGGGTTTAGGGTTTAGGGTTTAGGGTTTAGGGTTTAGGGTTTAGGGTTTAGGGTTTAGGGTTTAGGGTTTAGGGTTTAGGGTTTAGGGTTTAGGGTTTAGGGTTTAGGGCGGCCAAAAAAGAAGAGTCCAGGAGAGCTGCTTCAAACATTTCGAGCATGGGGGGACATTGGCACTGAATTGGAGGTATTCTGTACCTCCAGGCGCAGCGATCTTCTGAAACTCCCCAGGAAAGCCGGCTTTGCAAAGGGGGCGATGCTGTCAAAAACCGCTCCAAAGGTACATTGATGACCAACAAGACTTAAGATGTCCCCCTATACTAACAGTCCTTAATAAGGACTATGATAGTGGGTACGCTTATCCCTATTAAGGACTGTTAGGATAACGGGAAACATCCCAAAAGAAGACCCACAAGCACGAAGCGACGTGCATGCGGTCCCATAGCCTCAACTCCCATCCAAAGCTCAAGCTATCGGCGTAAGGGCCGAGTCACTCTAGCATAGCCGTTTTCACTTTAGCCCCTAGTGCGTCTCCATCGTAGAAGGAAGGAAGCCTTATGTAAGAGTGTAGGGCTCTGAACCAGAAGACCCCATGGAGGCTTCAAACAGGTCGTTAGAGAAGCCGGAATAAAGTCCGATGCTATCGCACCACGGTCCTTTTCAAAACAAGATGCAACCACCCAACATTCAAAAACTGCCCATGACTTCGAGGTTCTAAGAACCCCTTTTCTTTGGAAGGAGAAGTCCTCAAGATCAGTGCGCAAATGCCGCTCCAACTGGTGCTGGAACGGAATCAACACGTGGCTTCCGAAATCCGTCTCGTGGCATTGCGGGGGACTGGCAGGAGCTGATCCCGAAAGAATGATCTCTTGCTGGGTCCTTCTTGCGCTAGGGGTTCTGAATAGGATGCCCCGAAAGGGATACCCTGGTATGTTAACTTAATTGGAGAACAAGTCATAAGAGGCCTAGAGGCTATGAACATTCTATGAACCCGACAGCCCGAAAAGTGGCAAGTGCTAAGCATCCCAAGCTCTGCAAGTTCTTAGAAGCCTCCATATGTCTTTCCCTGGCCTTTTACAGGTTGTTTGGGAATTCTCTCTCTCTCTCTCTCTCCTTTGTTTTTTTTTTTTTTGGGGGGGGGGAAGGGGGTTGGGGGGGGGGGGGGGGGGGTGTGGTTTCTGCTTTAGCTGTAGGTGCATTCGGCAGGAGCTATGCCACTTGCAAAAGAATTTCGGAGCCGTCCGCTAGGTGCACAGGCCTGGAGAATATGGAGGCTTTCGACAATAAAGCCTGGAACACTTCGCCCACCAACATACCTATCTTTCTCAGGAGGTCTTAGTAGGGAATTTGAAAGTTAGATAACCTTCTGTCTTCCTACACCATGATCTCTCTTGCCTCATTCCCTAGCACGAGCAGCGTAAACCTGTTTCATTGGCCAACCTCAAGCCCTGCGTTCAGAGGGAGGCCCCTAGGTACAGTCGGCACAGCAGCGGCAGAAGACCGGAGGGGCAGCACTCATGGCACCTCTACTCCCCTTAGAACCTTAAAAAAACATAGTCTTGTTCATCTCCTCTTGGGCTTTGTATGAACAAATTTAAAAAAATAAATAATTCCCAAGGGGGACATAGGCACTCATGGTGAGGATGCTGGAGGCATCCTGGGACCAAGTTCAACGGCTTTCTGTGCGGGGGGGGTGGGGGGGGGGGGGGGGGGGGGGGGGGAGGGCTTCGTGGGCTCAGAGCTTGGGGTCAAGGCTGGCTTGATGGGCGTTGGCCTGCATAGGTCTGAAAATACTGTTATAATAATACTTAAAATAATCATGAGAATATCGATATGAATAATACTGACAGTAGTAGTAGTAGTTCTATTAAGAATAATTGGGGGGTTTATGAGCTTCAGCTGCCGAGGCCGTCAAAACCTCTACAGTACCCAACACTCACCAAGGCCGAGACGGCTAACACCACCCTAGTTGTCCAGTAACCTGGGGGAACTAAAGGTTAACCTTTGGGATTATAAGGGGATCCGTTTACCCCAAAAAGGTTAAAGGCTACCTACTCTACTACTCGGCCACTGAAAGATGGATCCGGCTGAGGATCCTTCACCCGGATGGGGAGGGTCTCGGCCATGGTCGAGATGGGCGTGCCCACGCCGGGTATCCCTTGGATAAGCCCCGAAAAATTGAACAAAACAGCCCTTGAGGGCCTAGCTAACTAAACCATGAACCCATGGTTTCGGAATGTGACCTTGCACCTTGTGTTCACTCTGCACCACAAAGCAACACATGTTGAGGTTCAAGTCGAGATGCTCCGCCCGTCCACGTCGTGTGCAGTCTGGATGATCAAGTCTTCCTCTGCGACCTCAAGTGCATTTGTAGGGAGTTTAGGGTCTCAAAAAGGGGACTAATTGCTAATAGTATTCCCTGATGGTCCCTTTATTGGCTATACTATAATGACCCCCAACACCCTATTCTATTAAGGCCCCACAAGTTTCGTAGGGTCTGTGGGGGCAGTTGTAGGTGTCCAAAGTCCGTTTCAACTTCCCAGAAAGCCTAAAACCTCGGAGCAGGTCCTCGCGTGCTGTTTGCAAGACCTCGAGACTTCACACCAAACCCTGATCCTGGCCGTCCCTTCCCTCCCAAAGCCAAGACCCGTCCTGCTCAATGTGCTCGAAATCCTGAGGTGTTTGCAAAGCCGACTAGTTCCTTGACGTTGGAGAAAGTGTGGGCAAACCATGGAGAAGGTACCAGGATGTGCCACCCCTTTCCTAGCCCTTAGTTCACAAACCTCCAGCCTGAAAGCCTTGATCACCACACGATTAGTAAGTATTCTGACCGCTATAGTACACTCATAATCCCGAAGCCCTGGGTTTAGGGTTTAGGGTCTAGGGTCTAGGGTTTAGGGTTTAGGGTTTAGGGTTTCCTGAGGCTGCCCAGGGACATCACAGGCGACATCGGTGGACACATTGGACGCCAAATCAGTCGGCCCCACTGCCTTTAGCATCTTTGCTTTGTGCTTGAAAATCCTGCTGCTGCTTATTCTTCGAATCGGCTTCGTTTGAGGCGGGGGAGTGGTAAGCTCGCTTCTTTTCTCTCAGCCCAACGGAACGCACTGCAGGATACAAGCTTTCCAAACGAAGCGCGCTGTGCCTGCAACCCTTCAAGACATTCAGCAGACCGCCGAGATGCAGCCAACAAGGGTCCACACTTAAATGCAGGCTTTCATCCCGAGATCCATAAGCACACAAGGCCACTACCATGATCGTAGCTTGCATTCCTTCGGGAACCCTACTGTAATAACTCTAAATCCGTTTTTTGCATCCGGACTCCTGTGGGTGCTGCCAGGCTTGCAGTGACACTGACTGGACTCCCATACTCTCTAACCCTAAACCCTAGACCCTAATAACCCTTAACCATAAACCCAAAAAACCTTACACCCTATAAACCCTCAACCCTGTAAACCCTCTGACAAAAAGCCCTAAGCCGCAAACCCCATGATAACCCTAAATTCATCCCCCAGATTCTCCCCCTCGAAGCCTGCAGAGGCGCGGTGTCGATTGGAATGAAGGCAACCGATTCTGAGGCCTTGATTGGGCCATGCGACTTGGTCACCTTGCAGCCCATCTCGCGGGCGATGAAGGGGAAGCTTCGACTCAATGATGCTGTGACGGCTATGCTCAGACTACACCACATGGTCTGGCAGAGTTGGCTGTTGTCCTGCATGTTGCTAAGCCTGCATGATGCCTTTCCAGGTCTTTTTGAATATTACTTGCACACATGCACATGTAAGAGAGACAGAGAGAGAAAGAAAGAAAGAAAGGACCGACTGCAGCTATGTGTGTTCGCAACGCAAACCCTTGAGTATGAGATCGTGTGCGCCTCTCTCACCTGATGCGTCTGTCATATCCTTGGGCCAAGAAGCTCAGGTGGCAACGGAAGGAACGATGTCAGAGGAACTGATGTCCAACTAACGAGTACTAGTAGGGCTCAGCCGCGTTAGGGAGGTGAGGCTTCGTGCTTTGTGCTTTGCAGCGACGATGTGCTCGAGACTCCAAGCATGCAAACTTTGAGCCTACTCTACTGCGGCAGCAACATCAGCCATGACCACAAGTACGCGCAGCCATTTCTAAGCATGCGTTGAATCTTGGCAGCTGCCACGCCTGACCTTTCATAACGTCTGTGACCATCAGCCCCAATTCTTCATCGCTGCATGCTGCTCCCTGCATAAGCTGGTGTCTGGTGTATTGCGGCTGAAGGTTTCTTTCAATATGTTCATTAGATGTTCTCTATGCAAGCAGTGCCTCTGCCCGGGACAGGCCATGCACTCCCGAGTCAGCCCCTCTTTGGAGGCGAAGAACACTGCGCGCTGTACAAGCATGCCTGCTGTATTAATTCCGAGTCATAGGCCTGGAAGGATTTCTACACTGTTCTTGAGCATGCTGGTCAGCAAGCTCCACCTTGTACTAAATTCAAAGGCAGCAGGCGAACACAGAGGGTTGCTCCTCATCAACAGCATCGTGATGAGCGTCCTGCACGAACACATCTGAAGAATCGGCCTGTGCAGCACGCGCAAGCTGGTGCAACCGCGACTATACCAACCGAAGGTGAATGGACGTGCCCAGTGGGCATAGCCTATACCCTCTCCCTGCAAGCATATTCCAAACTTGTCTACTCTGCTCACAGTTCTGCTGCACATTGTTAGATGCATACACATCTGTGTACTACATATACAATAAACATCTTGGTACTTATAGTCTTTTTGTACGTCTTTTCCTCCTGGTTCCCCTTTATGATTTCCCCACATCTCTTGCCTGGATACCGAAGACTCTGGCTTCCACGTGTGGGCTTTCGACGTCTTCCATCTCCGAGATGCCCGTGGACGTGGAGGCTTTGGATTGCGTGGCCATCGTAGCCATACCTAGTTCATGGTTGGGATGATGTTGAAGCTTTTTATTTGGTTTATTCCTTATTGGGTTGAAGTACCCTTAAACATGCAAAATGTTACCCAACTATGACACAGATACATACTTTGGCTTCGACTTGCGTCGACTTGCTGCGGCAGCAGCCCATGTTGCGTGCAAGGAAGGGACCTGCTGGTGCTGGGCACTGCTTGTGAGATCTGCTCAGCCACTGCTCAGCCCAAAGTTGCCTGCGTGCTGAGGAGTTTGCCAGCTCATTCGAGGCACCTATCCATCCTCCCCAGGCTAGAAATCTTCAATCCATTTTTCCCAAATTTGCAAACCACCGCAAGCGACCCTGATGCAAACACCTACAAGCTGTTACTGCTAGGGTTCAAGCACTGTTCTTGAAGACCTGGCAACTTCTCTCTCTCTCGTGGGTGAAACAGGTACATCGGGGTCTTGAGTTCAGGGTCTCACGCGGCTTTATATAGAAGAATATGAACATTCAAATCCAACCTACATATATATATATATGCACATATTTCTACTTATGGTTTTTTCTTTATACTTACTCCTACGAGTACTTCTGAATATTCTGATGATGATTGTCATATATATATATATATATATATATATATATATCGTGCATAAACATATATACACATACAAAGGTTTGCAGTGCTTTTTGCAATGCTGCGTTTTGTATTTCTAGGGCCTTGTGGGCTTCGGCTCAGGATCCTCGTAGGCTGCTCAGTAGTACACAGGCTCGAGGGCCTCGATCCCCTGAAGCACCTCAGTGGGGTTCGTTTTGTGCAAAAAGTCCTTGGGTCGAGGATGTGTGTAGGGCCTTGATAATCAGAATAGGGTTTTGGGGGGTTCTTATAGTCTGATTACAAAGGGACCCTAAGGGAATACTATTATTAGTAACTATTCCGACCCCTATGGTAGGGGGTTGAGAGCTTCAGGCCACGTGGCGAAGTTGTCGAAGTATGCAGAGTGCCAGCCTCTGCAGGGAGATGAGGATGAGCACACACACACACAGCCAGCATAGTCAGGGGCTAGATGCCGTCATCGGGACTAAACTCTCATGCCCTGAACACTTCAATGCCGAAGCAGGCCCTGCGCCTGAGATAAGAGCCAGTGCCCCGATGGTGTGATCAGAATCGATTGACACGACCTGACCAGAAATCAAGCGTTGCACCAGAGGGACATACGCTTTGGACAGATTCATTGCCCGCTGGAAGCCCTCGTCCATGGGACTGTCTGCCCTACACCGCACAGTTTGGGCTGCGCATGGCCCAAACCCATCCTGCCTCTTCAGCATCATCAATCCGCACCTGTTTGGGGTTTAGGGTTCAGGGTGTGGCATACGTAGCCCTTCCTGACGATTTTTCTTGCAGCCTTCAAGCTTAAGTACACGTGGACACTTCAGGGTTAGCAAAGGACCACGAACCTAGGAGCAAACCGTGGGCTGGTGTCTAGTGACCTAGGGGATACTGTTGGCGCGTCGCAGGCCCTGAGTGAAAAGCCGAAAGGAATCCAAGGGTCTTCCGACCCCAGCCCCTGTTGCTGCGAGAAAAACAGGCCACTCTTTTGATCAGGAACAAATTGAAAAAAAAAACACACACACACACACACACACACATACACACAGTGTATATATATATATACAAGTCTTTAACAATGAAAAGCCATCAGGTCTGAAACTCTCATGAAACTGGCCAGATGGATTGGCACAGAGGCGTTGTAGCAGTCAAGGCGACTTTTCCCATTCCAGCTGACGATGAGTTGCTTGTGGACCTCCCCTTGGTGCAGACAAGGTGCTCGAATGCGCGTGCCCTGGCAGGCGAGTCCTTAGGCTGGTCTGGGATGTCTCAAGGTCCGCAAAACAGCCTTCGTGACAGACCCGAATTCAATCAACTTTTCTGACCCTCCTCAACCCTATAGAATTTTTCCAGCCCTTAACACTGAATCCAAAAGGGTTTGGGCTTGGAGCTTCATGGTACTTGCTAACCAATTATCACTGTACTTATATCTGCACATAACCATACTAGGGCACTTAAGTCACATAAGGGGCTTATAAGTGGGTTATAAGTACAGTTATAACTGGTTAGTAAGTACACTACCATGAACCTCCAAGTTGACCCTAAACCCTAAACCCTAAACCCTTTTGCATCCGGGCTTGGTTCGTCGGCCTAAACCCTAACCCCCCACCCCCTCATGCCACACTTCGAAGGCCCAGAATCGGATGCGATGCCAAACGCCCAGCGGCGAGGGCAAGTGGCCGCTGGCAAGCACTGTTGCATTGAACCCACCTTTTTGGCTAGGGGATTCAGGTTAGGGTTTAGGGAGGTTTAGGGTTTAGGGTTTAGAGTTAGAGTTTAGGGTTTAGGGTAAGGGATTCAGGGCTCAGGGCAGGGGATTCAGGGCTCAGGGCTTACGACTTGGTGTTGAAGGTTTGGGGTGCAGAGTTTAATCGTCAACCACCTTAAGGATTACCGAAATTCCTATACTTCATCCCCTGTTGGGGAAGGAAGGTACCTAAAGATGGGTTATTATTATTAGCAAAGAGCCAACAGTTGAACGGCCGCCTGACATTCGACAAAAGCTCCGCGCAACAGACCTTGGCCATAATAACATGACTCTACACCCCAAGTCCCAAACCCTAAACCCTGTAGAACCCTAAACCCTAAACCCGCAACGCAAAACTCTGTAGAACCCTAAGCCTCAACGTAAAGATTAGACTAGGGCCTGGAACTTCCAAGGCAAATCTGACTATTCAGCGTTTTTTTCCACTGACTGGCTTTCCCCTAACTGGTTTTGGGTGTAGCGTAAGCGAGCCCACCCTAAACACTAAACCCTTTTTTGAACCCAGACTCCTGAAGTCAGCTGGGAAAGGTCTGTGAAAAGAAACCCTTTTTGCATCCGGGCGATGATGTCCTGGAAAAGAAACCCTGAACCCTGAACCCTACCCCAAAAACATGACAGTCGCTCGGCCCTTGCCTGACTCAAGGCGCCAGGCACCACGCCGCGCAGCGTCAAGCCCCAACCTGCGCAGTATTCGGGGCTCGAATTCTATGCTCCGTGAAAAAACCTTGCCCACAGAATTTGCCTATTCTTCCCTTTTGGGTTGATCCAAGACAACCGCAAGAATCTTATTTCCTAAGGTAATGTAGGGTCCCGGGCGGTTCCGGACTACCAACAAACAGTGCAGCAACTTCATAGTTATGTTTATGTATATATACACACCCTTATATACACAGGGGGAGAGAGCGAGGGAGAGAGAGAAAGAGAGAAACAGAGAGAGAGAGAGAGAGTTCGGGAAGGGGTGTATGCCCTGAACAGAGACCCCCCCTAATTCAAGGCCCATGCGCCTAATAAGTTAGGGCTTCAAGAGCCACTTCTGCTCCTGTGTTCAGTGCTCTGGGGCTTCAGCTTCCGGGCTTGCATTGTGAAGTTTGCGGTTCTTGGCCTGCCTTCTTCTTTTTTTAAACTTCAAGGTGTTTTGATTAAGGCCTGACGAGTTGGGGCTGAAGACATGATCAGAGCTGCATTCTAGGATCCCGCGTGCGAGCAGGGACGGAATTTCTTTGGGCGTAGCCAGGGGCTGTTCTTGTGTGAACCTCAAGGGACTCAAGGAGGGACCCTTAGAAGGGACCCTAGGATGTCCTGTGCCTTACTATACCTTCTTCTGGGGGTCCCTCCTTAAGAACCCCTTAAGAACCCTTTGGGCAGCCCCGCGGCCTCACGCAGTACCCGCTTCTTCCCCTCAGGCCGTAGAAGAGATCTCCTGCGGGGACCGCGGCGCGTCTTCATCACGAGGCGTGGCTCTGCAACTCCCAGAGCCTAAACCCTAAACCCTAAACCCTAAACCTTGAAGAATAGAAGCCTCGGCCCCAGCTCCACCGCAGTAAACTACGCACTGCCGCCAGTTCGTATACGGGCGCCAGACCAAGCTTCTTTGCAAGCCCAGCTGAGAGGATCTTAGGGCATTGAATGCTTCACTCAGAGGTCCTACAAGCATGATTATAAGTTATAAGGACTGCAAACACTGGGGGCATGGACTTTATAGAATGCAGGGGCAGATGTAGGCTTAGTGACAAGGATATGGGGCATGTTCTGATTGGCGGACCATTTTCCAAAGCCATAACGCGCATGTTGCAAGCGAGGGTGAAACTGCCCGACCAAGCAGGTGCATGGAGAAATGTCATACCATGCCATGCCCGGATCAGATGGGATGATCATAGCCCCGCTTTGACCCTTAGCCTAGACCACCTTGTAACAGAAACACTTTTAGAGAGAGCACAGATGGCCCTGCCTTTGGGCTTGGAGGAAGGATTGAAGACCTGGGAGCCTCATCGACTGAAGACCGAAACAACATACGCAGCAACGTACGTAGCGGACGTATCAAAGTGGACAGGTTCCGGGGGTGGGGTGATGAAGTGCCAGGCACCCTCTCTCTGTCATCTGCTTGGGCAAAGCTTGAACTAGCCTGATCCAGGAGCCTCCAATCAAAAACCGTATTGCCTTGGGGCTTCATGACTCAAGAGCCGAGTCCGGGCTTCTTTTAGCACGTGAAATTGAACTTGTGGTTTCAGCCTTCTTTGGAGTCTCTGATGACTTGGTTGAAGTCGTCCAGCCCAGCTGCAGACGCTTCCTTGCCGTGCATCAGGACGCCCTGAGGTGAATCCAGTCTCCTCTCACCAATCCGGAGAGTCTAAGGAAACAGGCCAGCCCTTCGCCGTTAGCTCTGCGACCTGAGCTGGCATGTCAGCCGAAGGTGCGGCTACTCTTTTACTTGGTTAAGGGCATAGGGTTTAGGTGAATTTTGCTGGAACCCTAAAAACCCCCTCGTCCTCCCGAGAACCCCAAGGATGCTTTAACGGCTTACGCACTCTGTGCTACGCCATTGAGCTCGGCGACGTCTCTGTCCAGCACCTGTCCAGGGCTTGCTTTCGGAGGCGGGATGCGGGCGTGCTTGTGGGGTTTCGGAAGTTTCGGGGCTTGCTTGGCCAGCTGACCGTTGAGGGTCCTGTCAGGGATCTTAGAGGGATTGTGGCGACTGGGTAAGTCACATATTCAGGAGCAGGATGTGTAGAACGCAGTGGCGTGGGGTCGTGGGTGCATACGGCTTCAGTGATTTCTGGACTTCATGTAGGATGGCGAATATGGGCAGAAGTACTGTAGAAGAGTCGGGAAGAAGTACTCTGACAAGTTTACACCCTAAACCCTAAACCCTAAACCCTAAACCCTATAACCCTATAACCCTATAACCCTAAACCCTAAACCCTAAACCCTAAACCCTAAACCCCGACTTGCTGGCAAGGCATCCTCTCCACCTCGAAGGGAATCTTCCATTAAAACGTATGGTTTGGGATGTTCCCCCTTACACTAACAGTCCTTCATAGGGATTATAAGAGGGGGTACTATGATCCCTATTAAGGACTACTAATATAAAAGGGAACATTCCAAAGTAGGACCCCTGCCTCCTGCGTGGCAGCTTCCCTGTAGATTTTTCTCCTGTCAGCCAAAATGGCTGATGGTCAGGTCAAGTGCGTGGGGAGAAGTCCGGGATCAGTCGGTTTTAGGGTTTAGGGTTTCGCCTCTCACACTCGCGCAAGGGTTTAGGGTTTAGGGTTTATAGGGTTATAGGGTTATAGGGTTATAGGGTTTAGGGTTTAGGGTTTAGGGTTTAGGGTTTAGGGTTTAGGGACGCTCGTACCCGCTCGGGATGGTGTGGGCCGTTTGGGCGTGGGCGCCCATGTCCAACTGTAAGGCTTGCAAGATCTTGAGTCGAGAATTACCCTGTCTCGCGCCGAGCTGCCTCTCACAATGAAACCCGAAACCTTCGAGGGGCAAGAGGCAAGCTCTTCAAGCGGGGGCCAAAGTGGGCCTCTCAAATTTCAGGGTGGCGAAGGTACTTGTTAGTGCGGTATAGGCCTGCAAGCGCAACAAGAAAGGCAACTACCATATTGCATGCGCACCACCGTCAGCCCTGGGCAAGATTACGGCTGCCTTCGCCCATTCTACCACACGAACACGAAAGCTTGCCGACTTGGTAACTCAAAGCTACAAGGGGTTGAAGCTGGTGTTTCTTGTACCTGCGCAGGGTTTAGGGTTTGGGTTTTTTTCCCACCCGTGTCGCTTGCGTTTACGGGCAAAAGGTCAGGTCATACATTAGCTAGGGTTTGGGCTTGGGTTTAAGATTTAGGGTTTAGGGTCCTGGGAATCTCGACTTCTGGGTTTCGAGTCTGCGGGCGAGGTGCTGCAGGCCATCTGCGTCCAGGGCAGTGTCATCGAAACTCCAGTCGACATGGCCGCTGGCCAGTGGCTCCTCCTAGCTTCGAGGCTTAAGAATAGGGGTTTAGGGTTTTCGGGTTTTTTGTTGCCGCCCGCCTAGCTGAACTGACGTCCACATTGCAGGGAATTGGCATTGAATCAAATGGTTCCGTGAAAATTTGTCCGTCCCCCAGATGGTGCACCGTGTTAAGAAGTTTGGGGTTTAGGGTTAAGGTTTGGAGGGTTCAAAAGCGTTTTGCAAATTCAGAACCCCAAGGCTCTGGACACCTTGGGCCCTTCGTATCTTCGCTCAAGCACGCAAACTTAAGTGGCGCCTTTCTTCCCCATGTTCAAGGGTTTCTTCTTGTGATGAGGGAGGGGGGAGGGGGAGGAAGAAAACATCGCCACGTCGCTATCCGCGACATGCCACTATGCCTTTGACTGCCGGATTTGGTGACCCTTAAGCCGCACAAACCCTTAAACCCCTTAAACCCCTGAATTAAACCCTAAACCCCAGACCCGGGCGGCCTCCTCGTCGTGGTGGTCCTCGAGGTACGGATGGCGCAGGGCATCGTGGGCCGTGAGGCGCTTGTTCCTCAGGCTCGAGATGTTGCGCGACCCTCAACTTCGACGATTCCTACCCATGGTGATAGTACTAATCTGAATAACCAATAATGGCAGTACTACTCACTACTAATAACTAATACGAACAACAATAGTAGTAGTCTTTAGGTTTCAGGGTCCAGGGTTTGCTTTAGGTTCCAGAGTGGGCACTATCTACGGCGGGGAAGCTTCAGATGCAAGCGCCAAAACATGCTAAGGAGACCTCCAAGCTATACCAGCAGAGCTGGATTCAAGTGATTCAGGGCTTGGTGCTGAGTTTTACCTGCCGTTGCTTGGAGCGGGGGAGTGTAGGGATAAATGTTGGCCTTCATCCGATGCAACCCGACGCCGAACTGCACCTATGAACAACCGATGAGCACAGCAGACATCAAAAAACTGCATTGCATTTCAATTCTGCGGATATGCACGAGCTTCAACCCTAAACCGGGAACCCGAAGCCTGAAAATCTGGGGGATTTAGGGTGGCAGGAGTCGGTTAGGGTTTAGGGTTTAGGGTTTAGGGTTTAGGGTTTAGGGTTTAGGGTTTAGGGTTTAGGGTTTAGGGTTTAGGGTTTAGGGTTTAGGGTTTAGGGTTTGGCGTTTAGGGTTTCGGGTTTAGGGTTTAGGGTTTAGGGTCGGTTGGGGCTTTCTCGCTCTCTCTCCCTCTCTCGCTCTCTCTCTCTCTCTCTCTCTCTCTCTCCCTCTTGCAGCTCCAGGGCGGGTCGAACTGCAGCAGCCGATCTAGCAGGTCACACTGCGTATCCTGGCCAGAAAACTTGGGTTTGGGGTTTAGGGTCATTTACTTTAGGGTTTATAGGGTTTAGGGTCCATTGCTTAGGGTTGAGGGTTTAGGCAAGCTGAATTTGCAACCTGGAATTACAGTAGTTTAGCCATGTGGAGCCAAGGTTGCTTGGTAGCACCCCTACGTAGCGAGGTATACCTCCCAAAACAGCTGCCAAATCGTCGAAGATGCAGCGGCGTGCGGAAACATGACCTTCCAGTTCCTCGTGCCAGGCTGAGCCACACTTTAACATGTCAACACTGCCATATCAACACGTGGAGCTGGACATGCGGACGTGCGGACGTGCGGAGTACTACCCACAAAAAACAATAAATAAACACACATATCCATTTCTATCTGTTTAAGATGTATAAATGAGAATGATCGCAACACAGCGTACAGACCAAATCTGCGGCGATTTGGGGCAAGGCGACCAATCCCGAAATGCTCTGGTCATGCAATACTTGCAGGTAGTCACCCCACTGCGTAGCTTGCAGGCACAAGCTGTGCTGGTTGAGCACCTATACCCTGCCGGCCCAACTGCTGCGCTCTTTACGCCGACCGAGACAGATGCCCCTCTTCAGCCGGCCAATGACCAATCGTGCTGCCAAGATCAGGCACTTGCTGGCGAGGACTCGAAACCATCAAATCGGCTGGGTTACACTTGTGGGCTTGGTCTGTTCCCTGCTCTTGTTGTCGTGCCAGCTCATGTCACCCAAAGCCAAGGAAAAGAAAGACAGACATCCAAATCCGGATGAGCACCAAATCACAGTCGCTGGACCAAAATCTGAATGCTTCCGAAGGCTCTGGCGTGTTAGGCCCGGATACTTGGTCCTCAAGAAGTTTCTGGCTGCCTGGTTGTGCTCCTTAGCATCAGCGAGCATCGGGAAGAGCGCGGGCCGAAAACTCCCCAAAGCTTCGAGAGTCGTCTTTTTGGGGGATCCTTGGCAGCCCTGTGTTTAAGGCCCCAGCGCAACGGTCGCAGCGAAAAACGTTGACTTTTTGAGCCAAGGGGCCGGAATGAAGGAAAGCTCAGACTCCTGGGTTGTAGGGCTTGGGTTCACACCAAGGCCCGACTATTCCCACTATGATCTTTCACTCGTCCCGGATCTCAGCAATAGCACCTTGTCAAGTCGGACGACCGCCCCTCCAGGAGCTTTGAGTTCCAGCTCCCCACATTTTAGGGTTTAGGGTTTAGGGGTTAGGGTTTAGGGTTTAGGGTTTAGGGTCTAGGGTCTATAGGGTTTAGGGTTTAAAGACAAGATTTGGGAGATTTGTGAGAACAAAAAGGTACGGGCTTGACAGGTGTGGATACGATCTCCACCGTTCGGGTAGGAGGGTTTTGGGAGAATCGGACACTGGCCTCCGGCGTTCCCACGATTGCACATATGGAGCGCAACCTCAGGACGCACCAGAACTTGAGAGCTTCAGGAAATGCATCGGAAAGACTCATAATTTCTCTCAAATATCTGTTCTACTCCGTCCTCCCGAAAAAACCAACCCCCCCCCCCCCCCCCCCCCCCCTAAACCCTAAATCGCATCTTAGGTTGAGAGAAGCACATGCAAGTATTACCGATTATAGTATTCACACTAGAATACGTAGAATTCCTAAACCAAATAGAAAAGAATTAGAAGTAAACATGTTGAACCCTAAACCCTAAACCCTCAACCCTCAACCCTAAACCTGTGGTTGAAATGGAAGAAGTGCAAAGACCAAGGGGCTGGTCGAGGAAGTCCGACCCGCGGAACATTGGCGCCCGGCCGATGAGCTCCCCGAGAATGCAACCTTAGGGTTTAGGGTTTAGGGTTTGGGGTTTAGGGTTTAGTGCGCCGGAGTTTCCGGCTGTTTGGGCATTTTTTGGGGCTTCACAGCTTCGGGGCTCGCAAGACATCTAGGGTTTAGGGCTTTTGGCTTGAGAGCTTCAAGGTCCTCAAGACATCTAGTTCTCAAGACATCCAGGGTTCAGGGCTTTTAGGGTTTTAGGGATGGTTGGGGACTAGGGCGGTGAATAACCGTCCTCAAGGCAAGCCCCTGAAAGAGCCGTGTAGACAGAACCGCATGTAACAGCCTTACCAAGACTCCTAGAAACTGCTCTGTATTCTGTGTCTGGCTTCCTGTTCACCAGGCCATATACCGAATCTCTGCTAACCCCTAGAGACCCACGAAAAGGACGAAAGGGAAGAGCCATGACACGTGATACATGACACCCTAAAGGCTCATCTAAGTGTACCTATTCATGTTGGGTTCGCGGGCAGAAGATATCATTCTCCGCGTGGGCGCATTTAGAAAATAGGTGAACGAAACGATGAACAAGATAAAGTGAATTGGAACAGAAACCTTTAAATTGGAGGCTTTCTACGATCATAATGTTGTTTTGGTGCAGGGTCTGGACCACACGGGCATGAACTCTCCTAAAGGCCTAGGCTTCTGAGGGCAGGGAACCTCCTGGGAACCGGTTTGGGTCGCAACTGTTTGGGGATGCTTGGAATTACCGGCTGCCCATCAGTCATTAGTCGATCTTGAAGCTACGATTCGGATCTGAGTTAGGCACAGGACTGCTAGATTGAACGCCCAATCGCAGAACTCTCAACTTCAGTTACCGAGCGTGCCCACCTGCGCTCCACATGTCTACGGCCGCCGTGTACTCCCTGGAGGTCAAGATCACCTGGAGGGCATTGCCGGGCTGGATTTGGGGGTGGGGGGGGCTATTTTCAAAAGAATAAGGGTAACTTTAGAAGGGTCCCCAAAATGTTTCCAATAAAGGGTCCACGAGTCAGTCTCTTAAGGACCCGATTGTCCAGTTTGGGTGCAGGATTTGGCCTTCAGGCTTTCATCGGGCGAGGTCCCAGAAACACGAATGGAATCCCGAGTACAACCCTCAACCCTAGAAGCCTGAAGCCGAAACCCCTGATGCGCCTGTATCTTCCTAGCTCAAGAGCCCCAGGGCCCCCCAAAGCACCCCGGATCTTCGAGGTATCCACAAGCATTGGTGCAGATGTGTACCTATCTGTCTATGAAAATGTCTATCTATACAATCGATATCGAGAGGCGAAGATGAAGAGATATAGAACGAGAGGGAGAGAGGAGAGAGAGAGAGAGAGAATCAGAGGGAGAGAGGGAGAGAGGGAAAGAGAGAGAGAGGGAGAGAGGGACAGAGGGACACACACACACACACACAAGAGAGAGAGAGAGAGAGAGCCAGACTGTCAGACAGACAATAGAAACAGTTGTACCAATCTCAACGACCCCAGCCCGGGGATAGAACCCTCCAAAACCTGAAGCATGCGCGGTACCTGAATTTCAAGGCAGCAAACCCTAAACCCTGACACCCTAAGCCTTTCCAAACCCTGCAAAACCTTCAAGTACAAAACCTCTAAACCCTGTAAGCCCCGTAGACCCGAAACCCGAAACCCTAAACCCTAAACCCTAAACCCTAAACCCTCCAAATCCAGGCCATCCTGCCCCCATACAGGCCTCTAAGGCTCTCGGATCACAGGGCAAACTGGGGGGTTTTCGACTCGGGAAAGCTCTTCTGGCCTCCGGAGCTCTATACCAGCGGGTGCCCACCTTAGTTTCTGGTTCATCAGCCCCCAAAAAAGTGCACATTTTTCAGTTCCATAAGGGAATATAGCAGGTGCCTATGGTGCCCAAAAAGTGTAAAGCGTGCTCACTCAGCTACTAAGCCACATACTCCGTCCGGAGCCAGGTGTCATCGTCCTGATCGAAGCCGGCGCGGCCTGTGCAGGGGTTGGCCTCCAGACTGCTTCGCAGACTCTATGAAGTAGGGCTTTTCTAGAAGGACGCCCAATATCTACACTCAGCAATATTTATTTCTACTGAATACACTCACCAGTAGCAGGAATATAAACCCCGGACCCCAAGCTACACCCCTGAACCGACACAGGTGGCCTCTGGCGAGGCCAAAGTCGCACAGCCTGCTGTGGATTAGGCTTTTAGGGTTTCGGGTTTAGGGGTTTAGGGTTTAGGGCCCAGGTGGGAGGGTGAGGGGCTTTGGAGCCAGACGCATTCACCTGACCAAGTTACCCAACAGGGACCAGTCAAACCAAGAGGACCAAGGATAGCAGAAGAGACGGCAGTTGTAGTCAAGGACTGCCAGCCCTTTCAGAGAAGAGCAGCCTGGCATCAACTTTAAATGCCCGCTACAAGCTCAAAAGAACCCTAAGGCCTATTCCCAGTCCTCCTGAAGAGTGACAGTTTGTACTCTGCCAGCCCACAGCCAACAAGCAAACAGCCATCGGCACCATGAATACTGCCACTCGGAACTCCTAAAACCTGCAGAAACCGGGAGAAGAGGGTCACTCAAGCTCCATTATGTGCAAGCAAGGCTCTTGATGTCGCAATTCTTGTTTACCTTGGAGAGCCCGACACGGGAACAGCAATTCAACGCATGTTGCCGTGGAAGAAATTGCAAGAAACAGGTTCCTCCACGTGCAGCACCACAAGCTGTCCAGTCAGGAAGAGACTGTCTGACCTGCAACACCTCTTCGTCATTGACGCGCCCACCAACTGCCCAAAACACACAACTCAACGCTTTGCAGCCAAGGTGCTAGAACATTCAAGGGCTTAAGATCCCTGTGCACCACATTGGCAGAGTGCAAGTACCTAGGTGACAATGTGGAGGACTGTCTGGTGAAGCCATCGGTATTTGCAGGGCTGGCCTCGTGAGGCTCTAAACAAGGTTTAGAGTTTAATTAGGCTTTTTTTCCCTCCTGCACAGCTGGGGCGAATCCGCATCGCAGGGCGATTTCTCGGTCCGAGTTGGCTATCCTGCGGGGAACTCCATGCCCTTGTTCGCGCTCGGCCAGCTGTTCCAGCTGTTCTTTCGTCCACCCCCCAACCATACCCAAACAGCAAAAAGCACAGCAACATCCGGATCAACCACTACCCTAAGCCGAACAGTACAGAACAGGCCTGCCGGCCGCGCGCGCTCAGACTTTCTTTAAGGTTTCGGGTTTGAGGTTTATTAGTTCCGGATTTGCAGGTGGCGACACCTCCCAACTCGAGACAAGTCACAGCAGGGCTCGCAGTATCTGATAAATGAAGAACTGCACGTGGTCCTCACCTGGGTTCCCCGAGGACTGAAGTAGTGTATGGGGTCCCTAAACCCGAAACCCTAAACCCTACTGGGTGGGCACTGTGGTTTCCAACAGCTGGCGGCTGCAGTGGCTGTATGCAATCCGGGAAAAAGGGTCAGCGCGCGGGCGAGCATCCCCCAAGCCGGGCGAGATGATGCTCTTGATGTTCGCCCACTTGGCCTTTTATGCTGATGGCTTGGGCAGCTGATGCTGCTGATGCTCCCGTTTTGGCTTTCAATGCTCAAAGGCCTGGACGTCTGATGCTCATGATGCTCGCCCGCCCGGGATGCTGATGATGTTCACCCACTTCCGTGGCCTTTAATGCTGAGGGCCTGGGCAGCTGATGCTCATGATTACGGTCATGCTGCACAACCATACCGCATGATGAACTTATCTTACTGGGCAAGGTAATTATTTTGAAGTAATTGCACATTAAAAAATGTGCCGCAGCAGGAACCTACCCCTTGCATATTGCGCACACAATGCATTTCACATTTCTCCGAGTTTTGCCAGCTTGTCCAGCTTGAGCTTACTTGCGCTCAACGTCCCTATCACCTAAGATGTTCGGCCATTTGGCCATTCTGTGGCGTAAAGACTCATTATGCGGCGTATGGGGTCAAGGGACAACAGGAAAGTAGCTAAAGTATGTTTGAATAAGACATGCATTGTGGATCTTTTTGATAAGCATAAAAAAGAATAACGTTGTGGCCGTGTGAAATATGTACTGTACAGTAGCAAGTCGCCGGAGAGAAAGGACACGTAAGTAAATCTTTCATTTCGTGTTGGCATATTCAGAAGAAAGGTTGATGCTCATCATGCTCGCTCGTTCGGGGCAGCTGGTGTTCATGAGGTTCTCCCACTTGGCCATTAATGCTGAGGGACTGGGCAGCTGATGTGGCTTTGAATGCTCAGGGCCTGCATAACCCGCCCGGGGCCACACGCGGCCGGCCGAGGCCCTCAACATTAAAGGCCAAGTGGGCGAACATCATGAGCATTAGCTGAGAAGGCCTATGAGCATTGCAAGCCAATTCTCTAGCATCAGCTGCCCCGGGCGGGCGAGCTTCATGAGCAGCAGCCGCCCAGGCCCTGAGCATACAAAGCCGCATCATAAGCATCAGCTACCCCGGCCCTCAACATTAAAGGCAAAGTGGGCGAACATCATGAGCATCAGCTTCCTCGGGCGACGAGCATCAGCTGCCCCGGCCCTCAACAGAAAAGGCCAAGTGGGCGAATATCATGAGCATCAGCTGCCCCGGGCGGGCGCGCATGATGAGCATCAGCCGCCCAGGCCCTGAGCATTCAAAGACAAAGCGCATCATGGCATCAGCTGCCCAGGCCCTCAACATTAAAGGCCAAGTGGGCGAACATCATGAGCATCAGCTGCCCTGGGCGGGCAAGCATCATGAGCATCGGCCACCCAAGCCCTGTGCATTCAAAGCCAAAACAGGCGCATCATGAGCATCAACTGCCCCGGGCAGGCAAGCATCATGAGCATCAGCCGCCCAAGCCCTGAGCATTCAAAACCAAAACAGGCGCATCATCAGCATCAGCTGCCTCATGGCGCTCGCTCGCCCTCAACATTAAAGGCCAAGTGGGCGAACATCATGAAAAACAGCTGCCCCGGGCAGGTGAGCATCATCAGCATCAGCCACCCAGGCCCCGAGCATTCAAAGCCAACACAGGCGCATCATGAGCATCAGCTGCCCTGGCGGGCAAGCATCATGAGCATCCGCCCAGGCCCCTGAGCATTCCCAGACAAAACGGGCGCATCACGAGCATCAGCTGCCTAGGCCCTCAATCTTAAAGGCAGTGGGCGAACATCATGAGCATCAGCTGCCCCGGGGCGAGCATCATGAGCATCGGCCGCCCAGGCCCTGAGCATTCAAAGCCAAACCAGGCGCATCATGAGCATCAGCTGCCCAGGCCCTCAACATTATAAAGGCAACATTGAAGGCAAGTGGACGAACATCATGAGCATCAGCCGCCCAGGCTCTGAGCATTCAAAGCCAAAACAGGCGCATCATGAGCATCAGCTGGCCAGGCCCTCAACAGTAAAGGCCAAGTGGGCGAACATCATGAGCATCAGCCGCCCAGGCCCTCAACATTAACGGCCAAGTGGGCAAACATCATGAGCATCAGCTGCCTTGGGCCGGCGAGCATCATGAGCATCAGCCGCCCAGGCCCTGAGCATTCAAAGCCATAAAAACAGGCGCATCGTGGGCATCAGCTGCCCAGGCCCTCAACATTAATGGCCAAGTGGGCGAACATCATGAGCATCAGCCGCCCAGGCCCTGAGCATTCAAAGCCAAAACAGGCCTCAACATTGAAGGCCAAGTGGGCGAACATCATGAGCATCAGCTGCCAAGGGCGGGCGAGCATCATGAGCATCAGCCGCCCAGGCCCTGAGCATTAAACCCAAAACAGACGCATCATGAGCATCAGCTGCCCAGGCCCTGGGTGAACATCGTGAGCATCAGCTGCCCCGGGCGGGCGAGCATCATGAGCATCAGCCGTCCAGGCCCTGAGCATTCAAAGCCAAAACAGGCGCATCATGAGCATCAGCTGCCCAGGCCCGCAATCAAGGCCAAGTGGGCGAACATCATGAGCATCAGCTGCCCCGGGCGGGCGAGCATCATGAGCATCAGCCGCCCAGGCCCTGAGCATTCAAAGCCAAAACAGGCGCATCATGGGCATCAGCTGCCCAGGCCATCAACATTAAAGGCCAAGTGGGCGAACATCATGAGCATCAGCTGTCCCCGGTGGGCGGGCGAGCAACATCAGCCGCCCAGGCCCTGAATAAAGGCCAAGTGAGCAAACATCATGACCATCAGCATCAGCTGCTCCGGCCTGGCAAGCATCATGAGCATCAGCCGCCCAGGCCCTGAGCATTCAAAGGCAAACCAGGCGCATCATGAGCATCAGCTGCCCAGGCCCTCAACATTAAAGGCCGAGCATCATGATCATCAGCCGCCCAGGCCCTGAGCATTCAAAGCCAAAACAGGCGCATCATGAGCATCAGCTGCCCTGGTCGGGCAGCATCATGAGCATCAGCCGCCCAGGCCCTGAGCATTCACAGCCAAAACAGGCGCATCATGAGCATCAGCGGCCCAGGCCCTCAACATTAAAGGCCAAGTGGGCGAACATCATGAGAATCAGCTGCCCCGGGCGGGCGAGCATCATGAGCATCAGCGGCCCAGGCCCTCAACATTAAAGGCCAAGTGGGCGAACATCATGAGCATCAGCTGCCCCGGGCGGGCGAGCATCATGAGCATCAGCCGCCCAACACAGGCGCATCATGAGCATCAGCGGCCCAGGCCCTCAACATTAAAGGCCAAGTGGGCGAACATCATGAGCATCAGCTGCCCCGGCGGGCGAGCATCATGAGCATCAGCCGCCCAAGCCCTGAGCATTCAAAGCCAAAACAGGCGCATCATGAGCATCAGCGGCCCAGGCCCTCAACATTAAAGGCCAAGTGGGCGAACATCATGAGCATCAGCTGCCCCGGGCGGGCGAGCATCATGAGCATCAGCCGCCCAAGCCCTGAGCATTCAAAGCCAAAACAGGCGCATCATGAGCATCAGCAGCCCAGGCCCTCAACATTAAAGGCCAAGTGGGCGAACATCATGAGCATCAGCCGCCCCGGGCGGGCGAGCATCATGAGCATCAGCCGCCCAAGCCCTGAGCATTCAAATCCAAAACAGGCGCATCATGAGCATCAGCGTCCCAGGCCCTCAACATTAAAGGCCAAGTGGGCGAATCAGCTGCCCCGGGCGGGCGAGCATCATGAGCATCAGCCGCCCAAGCCCTGAGCATTCAAAGCCAAAACAGGCGCATCATGAGCATCAGCGGCCCGGGCCCTCAACATTAAAGGCCAAGTGGGCGAACATCATGAGCATCAGCTGCCCCGGGCAGGCGAGCATCATGAGCATCAGCCGCCCAAGCCCTGAGCATTTACAGCCAAAACAGGCGCATCATGAGCATCAGCGGCCCAGGCCCGCAACATTAAAGGCCACGTGGGCGAACATCATGAGCATCAGCTGCCCCGGGTGGGCGAGCATCATGAGCATCAGCCGCCCAAGCCCTGAGCATTCAACGCCAAAACAGGCGCATCATGAGCATCAACTGCCCCGGGCGGGCGAGCAACATGAGCATCAGCCGCCCAAGCCCTGAGCATTCAAAGCCAAAACAGGCGCATCATGAGCATCAGCGGCCCAGGCCCTCAACATTAAAGGCTAGCATCAGCTGCTCCGGGCGGGCGAGCATCATGAGCATCAGCCGCCCAAGCCCTGAGCATTCAAAGCCAAAACAGGCGCATCATGAGCATCAGCGGCCCAGGCCCTCAACATTAAAGGCCAAGTGGGCGAACATCATGAGCATCAGCTGCCCCGGGCGGGCGAGCATCATGAGCGTGAGCCGCCCAAGCCCTGAGTATTCAAAGCCAAAACAGGCGCATCATGAGCATCAGCGGCCCAGGCCCTCAACATTAAAGGCCAAGTGGGCGAACATCATGAGCATCAGCTGCCCCGGCGGGCGAGCATCATGAGCATCAGCCGCCCAAGCCCTGAGCATTCAAAGCCAAAACAGGCGCATCATGAGCATCAGCGGCCCAGGCCCTCAACATTAAAGGCCAAGTGGGCGAACATCATGAGCATCAGCTGGGAGGGCGAGCATCATGAGCATCAGCCGCCCAAGCCCTGAGCATTCAAAGCCAAAACAGGCGCATCATGAGCATCAGCGGCCCAGGCCCTCAACATTAAAGGCCAAGTGGGCGAACATCATGAGCATCAGCTGCCCCGGGAGGGCGAGCAACATGAGCATCAGCCGCCCAAGCCCTGAGCATTCAAAGCCAAAACAAGGCGCATCATGAGCATCAGCTGCCCCGGGCGGGCGAGCATCATGAGCATCAGCGGCCCAGGCCCTCAACATTAACTTGAGCATCAGCTGCCCAGGGAGGGCGAGCATCATGAGCATCAGCCGCCCAAGCCCTGAGCATTCAAAGCCAAAACAGGCGCATCATGAGCATCAGCGGCCCAGGCCCTCAACATTAAAGGCCAAGTGGGCGAACATCATGAGCATCAGCTGCCCCGGCGGGCGAGCATCATGAGCATCAGCCGCCCAAGCCCTGAGCATTCAAAGCCAAAACAGGCGCATCATGAGCATCAGCGGCCCAGGCCCTCAACATTAAAGGCCAAGTGGGCGAACATCATGAGCATCAGCTGCCCCGGGCGGGCGAGCATCATGAGCATCAGCCGCCCAAGCCCTGAGCATTCAAAGCCAAAACAGGCGCATCATGAGCATCAGCGGCCCAGGCCCTCAACATTAAAGGCCAAGTGGGCGAACATCATGAGCATCAGCTGCCCCGGGCGGGCGAGCATCATGAGCATCAGCCGCCCAAGCCCTGAGCATTCAAAGCCAAAACAGGCGCATCATGAGCATCAGCGGCCCAGGCCCTCAACATTAAAGGCCAAGTGGGCGAACATCATGAGCATCAGCTGCCCCGGGCGGGCGAGCATCATGAGCATCAGCCGCCCAAGCCCTGAGCATTCAAAGCCAAAACAGGCGCATCATGAGCATCAGCGGCCCAGGCCCTCAACATTAAAGGCCAAGTGGGCGAACATCATGAGCATCAGCTGCCCCGGGCGGGCGAGCATCATGAGCATCAGCCGCCCAAGCCCTGAGCATTCAAAGCCAAAACAGGCGCATCATGAGCATCAGCGGCCCAGGCCCTCAACATTAAAGGCCAAGTGGGCGAACGTCATGAGCATCAGCTGCCCCGGGAGGGCGAGCATCATGAGCATCAGCCGCCCAAGCCCTGAGCATTCAAAGCCAAAACAGGCGCATCATGAGCATCAGCGGCCCAGGCCCTCAACATTAAAGGCCAAGTGGGCGAACATCATGAGCATCAGCTGCCCCCGGCGGGCGAGCATCATGAGCATCGGCCACCCAAGCCCTGAGCATTCAAAGCCAAAACAGGCGCATCATGAGCATCAGCGGCCCAGGCCCTCAACATTAAAGGCCAAGTGGGCGAACATCATGAGCATCAGCTGCCCCGGCGGGCGAGCATCATGAGCATCAGCCGCCCAAGCCCTGAGCGTTCAAAGCCAAAACCGGCGCATCATGAGCATCAGCGGCCCAGGCCCTCAACATTAAAGGCCAAGTGGGCGAACATCATGAGCATCAGCTGCCCCGGGCGGGCGAGCATCATGAGCATCAGCCGCCCAAGCCCTGAGCATTCAAAGCCAAAACATGCGCATCATGAGCATCAGCGGCCCAGGCCCTCAACATTAAAGGCCAAGTGGGCGAACATCATGAGCGAGCATCATGAGCATCAGCCGCCCAAGCCCTGAGCATTCAAAAGCCAAAACAGGCGCATCATGAGCATCAGCGGCCCAGGATGGGAGCCCGCTTGGCTTTCCATGCTAAGGGATCATGCTACCGCCTTGGCTTTGAATGCTCATGATCAGTATCCTGGTGCAGTTGCCCACCTGAGCCTCCGTGACCTGCTTATTCATTTTGTAATTATTCCGGTACAGTTGTCCGCCTGAGCCTCCTTGGCCTGCTTGTTAAGGCAGCATTTGCCGATACAGTTGAGCCTGCGTGCGTGCCGGCTCTTGTCGAAAATGCAGTACTGCCTGAAAGCTGTACTGCCTACCTCTCTGAGCTCTGAGAACGTCGCGTCACATGGTGCATGCCACTTTGTGCTGAACAATCCATCTGTCGGGCGAGGAAAAGCTCACATGATTGAATAGCATGGCAATACACAACAGAAACAACCCAAATTTAATCATGATAGTAGTACTAATTAGTAGTCGTCGTGGCAGTAAGGATAATATGACGACGATGATGCCGATTCTTGAAGCGAGGCGCTCAAAGGCTGGTCCGAGCAGATGACTGTGTGCAGATCTGCGTCCATGAGCTCCGTGACGAGGTAGACCTGCAAGTCTTCTTGAAGGGTGTTGCTCCACCTAGTTCATTACATCGCTATTTCCCATTCTTGGCAAGAATGGCAAAAATCGAAAAAGTCACCACTGAAGCCTGCTAGACTTCATCCTCGGAGCACCCTCTCCCAGCTGGCAGTGAAGCACGGGGTTTAGGTTTTGATTGGCCGAGGGTCTCGGGGCTGCGTGGGGCTCAGGGTTTGTGCTGTGGCAGTACATGTCCTTAATGGGCCCATCTGCCCGCGCATATGTGTATGCATATATGTACATACACACGGCGTACTAGTAGAAGCACGCGCATCCCGAGAAAAGTGCAAAAAAAGTGACGTCTCGGCACACCGACAGCACGCAAGCATATGAAGCTACACGTGTTTACATTCTGCCAGTACCACCTAAACCCAAACCCAAACCGAAGACATACGTCGACCCGCATGTGAAAAAAAAACCTCCCATCATAGCGCCTCGGTGAAAACAGTGGAGGGTGGCTCCAGGACCTGCACGAAGACACAACGACTCCGGTTGTAAGGGTGGTGGGCAGTTCGTCGGTTTGAGCTTGGGTTTAGGGCTTACCAAGGGCTCCTCTATCACGACGGCACCAGGCTGTCGCTGCGGTATACAGAAAGTTGGAAGCCTCGGTTCCTTGCATTGGAAGTGCCTGCGATCCTGCACTACCATAGTCCCGCGAATCCGGAAGTCGAGCTACACACTGACATCGAACTAGCGAGATAACCTCTGCAGGTACCTCAAAAGCCACGTAAGTCTTCTTCCGGCACACCAAGGCCAATGCTACATCAGCGAATCCCGCATCGTCTGGCCTTCAGCAACTTGATGATGCACTCATGGTCCAGGAGAGTAAGCCTCGGGCTGCTGGAGTTGAGCCTTCATCTGAACTGTATCACTCAGCTCACTGTCGCTATTCAATAGTGGCTATTGCCAAGTCCTGGGAAGGCTCTTCCAGGGCTTCAGGACAATGTAACGTTGATCCCCCCCAAGCTTGAGCCGTGATAACTGCCCGTAAGCCCTTAACGCCCTTCACCTCCTGCTCGCACCCGAATGCACCCGAGGCTCAGCTTGATCTCTCTCAAGCAGCGCTTCGCCTCTTCCCGCTTCAGGGCTTGTCGTGTGCTCCGGGGCTTCAGGCTCCGGGGAGTAGGGCCGGTTTGCGTCTAGGGGGCGATCATGGGTGCAAGCATCAGGGCCATGCGTATAGGGTCTACTTCAAGCATGTTGGAGGTTCTGATGCTGCAGATGTGGGTGCGCTGCACGTACATGTGTGTTCTCCGGTGTGTAAAGTCTCAGCAGACACTTGACGCATTTGGGCCCTTTGGCAGAAAGCCCGACATCTTGAACCCATGAGAACCTGCAGAACCAAAGACATTCTTTGCAGGTTGCCAAAGAATCCTAGCAGCAACCCTACACAAACCAGGAAGGTACTAAGGTCACAAGAAGCCATCGCTAAACCCTAAAGCAAAAACCCTAGACCCTCAACCCAACGAAGTAAAGGTCCTATAAACTCCAAACCCCAAACCCCAAACCCCAAACCCCCAAACCCTAACCCCCAAACCCCCAAACCCTAAACCCTAAACCCTCAACCCTAAACCCTAAACCCTAAACCAGCCTCCACGGTGTTTCTGCCCGGGTTCGGGATCTTCTTCACGGCGAACTCCTGAGGTGCCGCAATACTTCTATCACTGATGCTATATCGCCACATTGTATCTATAGACAATATACATATATAGCCACGCATATATCAGTGTATATATACATGTATGTATATATGTATATATGTATATATATGTATATATATGTATATATATATGTATATATATGTGTATATATATATGTATATGTATATGTATATATATGTATATATCTATATATGTATATATATATATGTATATATATATATACATACATGCACGTATTCTCACGCATACACAATATTTCAAGCTGTACATGCAGATGTGCATACCTCAGCATATGTGCCCCCAAGAGTTGTTGGGGGTAGAGGATGCCTAAAGCCCTTAGAACTCCTGGCCTTGCTGTCGCCCACACTGGCCCTTGGTGCCCCTAAACACAAACGAGCAAATCCCAGAACACTCCCAGAACTGAAGGCAAGAGGTGAGAGGGTAGGGCCAACCCTCATGGCGTCAGACCTCGATGCCTCCGCCTCAAAGCCTTCAGCGAACCGTTTTGACTGGACCTTGAAAGCTTCACTCTCGCTTAGTTCTGGAGCTGGGGCTTCGTTCGTTGTGGTTTTGCTGAGATGACGCCCAAATGAACAACTCAAGCACCGCAAAGGCGTGGAACGTGCTTGACTCAAATCGAAAACCGAAACCCTGAAGCCTAAATCCCAACGCGGATCGAACCTAACTACTACATCCTTTTTTGCGCAGGGCCTGCAGCTCACATTGCCCTGAGGGAAAACCTAAACCCTGAACCCTTAACTCCCAACACAGGACCAACCTGGGGCAAAGGTCCTCTCCCGTCAGCTCATCCCGAAAGGCGCTGACTGCTCCGTAGGTGCCCTTGCCTGAACTTGCTGTGGCTTCCTTCAGAAGTTTTGGGTTCTCCTGGAGCGCTTGGGCTCATTCTAGGGCTGCTTTCGAGTTGATGGCTTCAAGCATGAGCTGGTGGTTTCCATGCACATTGTGGCGCCAGGGGCGTCGAGGTCGGGCAATGAAGGGCTGCGCCGTGAGAAGCATACATATATCACACATCTATATATCTATATATATGTTTGTATATAGTGTCGGCCCCCCGCGCCCCCCAATGGACTAACCTCGACTGTGAAAGCTCCTGTATACACTACATGTTCTAATGCGTTCCCCCGTATTTCTGATCAGTATGAGGCATGTGAGAGGGTTTAGAGCCGTACTTGCTAAGCCTCGATAAATAAGTAAATAAATAAATAAACAAATATATATATATATATGTATATGAACAAATAATTTAATATACACATATATATATATACATGTGTGTATAGCTACGTAGTGTGTACCTGTGTTTCATTGTGTCAAAAACAAATAACTAGCTACATATACATATATACACCTGTGGCCCAGTTATAACTCGAAATTGCTGTAGTTGCATCAAACAGTTGTGATTCGATATGAGGTGTACACATTTCAATGTCGGTGTTGCCCGTTCGAGGGCATAGAGCTTTTTCGGAGCTTGCCCGAACCGTTCGGAACCCGTTCGGAATGCGATCGGAATCCGTTGGGACCGTTCGAAACATGCCCCGAACCTGACGTTGTTGTTTTGCCTCTCAGGCCAAAACATGTACAAAGGACCATGTCGTGCATGCAGAATACTTTGCGGGCTTCGGGGGCGCAAAAGGCCTCCCCTTCATCTTGAAACAACTTCTAACTGAAATATGGGACCACCCCCAGCCCCCCCCCCCCCCCCCCAACCCGGAACCCTTTCCGTCTTTATCAACCCGAAACCCTACACTACACACAGACAACAACTGAATCGTAAGTGCAGCCCACACGCCCAGGACTCGGAGCAGAGAAAAATGGCTGGGGACCCGAAACGTGGTGCCATTCGCCTGATGACTGCGGGCTGATCTTCGTAGCTCACTTCTCACGGCTCTGAACGCAGCATGCAGTACTGCATCCCGGGGTGTCTATGAAAATCCTGGAGGTTCGGGCCTTCATGGGGGTTTAGGTTTTAGGGTTTAGGGTTGTGTTGAGAACCCTATAAGATGCCCAAAGCTTCTTGCAAATCAGCCTGTCCTGCTTGCATTCTGGCGACTCGAAGCCGTAAACCCCACACCCCGACCCCTCTTTCGCTTCCACGCCTTATGCTCCGCCATCCTCGGCTGTGGCATCCCGAGCTCGGGGGGGGGGGGGGGGGCTTCTTGGGGGTACCCTCATGGACTGTAAGGCTTCTAGGGCTTTGGGGGGAAGGATGCTGGAACACATACGACTATCATGGCACATTCGCTATTTCTATCACGATTCCCAATCAAAAATGCCGCAACTCCCGGCAGAAGATACAGTGAAACACTGTGATTCCTGGCGCCGTCACTGTGAGAATGGCATCCCAGCACCCCGGCTCGTAGCAGAGCAGCGTACGTTTCGGGCTTGGGCATCTAGATCGGGAGTCAGGGCATCTAAGGGAAGAACTCCTTATGAAGAGGCTCAGGGCTAAGTTGGACCGATGGGGTGTCTGTTACATAAGACCCTAAACCCTAAACCCTACACCCCAATCCCTAAACCCTAAACCCACGGACTGCAGACAGATCCTAAAAGAAATTGGAAGCAAGCATCGTGGCTTGGGGTATCGACTCTCGCGCTTGCGGGCTTGCGACAGTCAATTCTTTCTTTCAGGCTTCTCGTGACACCGAAAGGCACCCTGAACCCTCAACCCTAAAGCCCAAACCCTAGCCCTAAACCCTAAACCCTAAACCCTAAACCCGAAGCCCTAAACCCTAAACCCTAAACCCTAAACCCTAAACCGTACAACACCTAAACACTTGAATTCGTTAAAGGCAGAGCGAGGGCTCCCAGGAGGTAGCTCTGGCTCTGCCGGGGCCGCCTCCACGGCCACCGGGTCGTCATTCCAGGGCGGGTGGCCAGACATGCTGATCTAGGTTTATACCCCTGAGGGTTTAGGGTTTAGGGTTTAGGGTTTAGGGTTTAGGGTTTGGGGAGGTATATACCTCATATACCTAAAAACCTAAGTAGCCTCCTAAATAACCCCTGAGGTCTCATATAAGGGTCCCTTATACTTACTAACAGCTCCTTAATGGGGATTATAACAGGGTATGGGTTCAGGGTTTCGACTCTCGCACGCGGCCGGCAAGGTTCTGCGTTCACAGATAGGGTTTAGGGTTTCGACTCTCACACTGGCATAAGCGGGCGAGGCAAGTCCTGTCGAGATTTAGGGTTTAGGGTTTAGGGTTTTGAGGTCTAGGAGTCTAGGACTTCCGAAGTTATGACCCTCGAGCGCTACTACAGATGCGCACTTCAATCGTTGTGTTGCTTCCTTCTCTGTGCTTCTGGTTTCGTGCATGAAAAGATGGTGTAGCTCCAAGCTGGCATCGGACCGTAAAACGAGAGTCTTAGGCTCTTGAACCGTGCAAACCAGAGTCTTAGGTGCTGGCAAATGACTACTGCAAAACAAATGCCATGCTGTATGCCGTTCTCTTGCTTGAAGCAACACGGCAGCAAAGTAATACATGCCAGCGGGGCATGCAAACATACAATCATAAGCCTGAACCCTCACTCGACAGAGTAGCTAGACCCAGAGACTAAAACATCCCGAACGCAAGGGCACACAGATTCGGAACTGAGATTCAGATTAGATTCAAATTCAGATGTGGCCAAATGGCATTCTGGGACCAAAGGCAGTTCCCTGCGATCTAGAGAACCCTCAACAGCAGCGGTGTGAGTGATGTGAGGATGTGGCATGTCTAGAGATCTGCAACAACAACCTCGATACGGTTAGCGAGACTCTGATCAGAGGCTGCTGGTGCTACGCACTACAGTCACTACAGGCGGATAGCTGGCGTAACTCGGGCGGACTTGAGCACGGATGAACCCTAGACCCTGCACGCCACCCGCACGTGCCATCCATGCGAGTCCTGCATCTTCGTCTCGAAGTGGGCTCGACGTGGAGGAAGCCCGTGGTTTCAGACCTCAACTTTGAGAGCGTGAAACGGTGTGGCAGCTTCGTTCATTGAGCTGCTGAAGGTTTAAGGAGTTCTTCTGGCTCTGAGTCCTGCAAACCAAGCAGAATTTCTCAAAACAGGCTTGAAATCTACTTGCCTGAGAGCTTGTAGTTCTTTCAGCCACTTTACACCACACTTGTTCCGGGTTTTATGGCTATTAGGCATGTTCTTGCCCCGCTTGTTGGTCTGCTTGGTCTGCATCTGCGACAGCTGAAAAGCGAATTGTGACTGCAAACCCTAAACCCTAAACCCGAAACCCTAAACCATGTGGCACATGGATTCTTAGCCCCGGCAGAAGCCGCAGCGGAAAACATTCCGTACAGTCGAAACACTCACAGCCAAGCGCAGCACCCCAAAACCCAAGGACAGCTACTGGGCTGCAACATGGGAAAACTGTCCTAGTCCCAAATATCTATCTATCGATCTATACAAACATTTACCCGAAAACAAAATATCTATATATATATATGCATATATATATACACATATATATTAATATACATACACACATATAGACATACACATATGCTAGCGCCTTCTGAAAGCCTCGAAAAGGGGGCATCAAGAGGGCCCGGGCGAACGCAGGCGCCAGCGTAGAGGGGCATCTCCTCATCCACGGAAAGCCAGCGCCTCGGAAGCAGCAGGGCTCCTCTTCAAAACGGTTTCGGGTTTAGGGTTTAGGGTTTAGGGTTTAGGGTTTAGGGTTTAGGGTTTAGGGTTTAGGGTTTAGGGGTGGGGCTTGAGATGGGTTGCACAATGCGGATTCCAAAGATGGACCCCCAGACGGCCCAGACGGGACCCCAATTAGTTGGAGAAATCCTACTTCTACAACAGGCCGCGGCGTGTATCAGCTGGCAGCTTCCCCTACAAACAATCGAAGCATGAGCGGGGTCTATGGACACATGCTGTAGAAAGAAGAAGCAGAACCCACACCAGCTAAAACGGAAGACGGGGGTGTGCGTTAAAACCCTTCATCTGAGAGCTATTCGTGAACAGGGTCCCATTGTAGGCAAAAAAAATGACATGTAAAAATATTCCGAAGCACAACCCAGAGGAGGAACCCTCAAACTCAGTCTGAAAGCCTCAAGACACTGGCAAGCCCCCAAACCCCCTGTCCCAAAATAGAGGGAACTCCCGAATATACACCAACATACACTAACCCGTACTATCGGAACCCCCAAAAAAGGTGTCCGGATTTTCGGAAAACCTGCATTTAGACTCCAAACCGCTGACCCCCTCCCCCTAATACTAAACCCCCCCTACCCCCGAATATTAAACACCCCCCATTATCGTTATAGTATCGGGGTATTTCATCTTAAGGGGTAATTAGCCGGGGGGGGGAGGGTTTTAGCCCTAAACCCTAAACCCTAAACTCTAAACCCTAAATATTCGGGGGAGAGGATTCATTTCCATCCCTAGGCACTGCCGAACTTCGGACGCATCGGACCCGCAGCGTCGCAGGCGCAAAGGAAGCCTTGTGATTTTGGCGGCCTTTAGGGTTTAGGGTATAGGGTTTAGGGTTTAGGGTTGGGTCTTGGGGGGGGCTATTTGTAGCATAGTTATATTCATGAAGGGGCCAATAAGGGAATACCATGAGTAGTTATTTCGACCCCTCGAGGATTGCGGCTTGGCAGCCCTTTCCAGGAAAGGAAGGCTCCTAGACATTCCTATGCATAAACAAATAAATGCACATGTCTATGGGCAAACCCTTTTTTAAGCACGGACTGAGGAGCCGGCAACACCCTTTGCCCAACCCTAAACCCTGAACCCTCTGGCAGCTGCATAGTGCCGCACCGCAGGGCGGAAAATGTCTTCTCGCTTTGCTTCTTTCACACTTGGGAGCACTGATCCAAAGTCCCCTTCCCTCTTACAGCCACTAGAAATCTAATTTTTGAGCTGCCTTATTAAGAAACCCAACAAACCCAAAAAGGCTAAGGATCGAAAGGTACAGTAAAGCACCACAGAGGCTGCAGCCCTCAACTTGAAGACAAAGTACCGTTCGCAGGTTCCCCTCGACATCGAAACCTTCCAACATGTCTTCCTCGTGCAGTTTCTGGCCCAGACCCCAGCGACCCACAAGCTCCAGTCTCGTCTGGTGACCACCGTGGCTACTTCAATGAACTTGGAACCCTAGCAAAAAAATTCAATTTTAGCTGCTTCTTAGCATTATCGTGCCCAAATTGAAAATTCTTCCCAAGTATCCCCAAGGCTACGGTTTATGAGGAAAAGGATGGGCGTGCTTGGACACTTGCCGCCCCTTCCTCGAAAGACCCTGCTCAGCTGCGTGGCATCGAGACTTCGGGGGCACCTCTGGCATCAGCTGCAGAGATGTGTCTCCACTTTGAGGGTTTAGGGTTTAGGGTTTAGGGGCCTAGAGGGGAGCGAGACATTGGGATTTTGGTTTAGGGGATCTACGAGGACCTGGATGGTCAATTAGACAGGGTCGGGGCTCGGAACGCGCCGTACGCTCATGTACCTTGCAACCCATTCGCAGCATGGAAATGCTACATGGTCAGCCTAATTTTTGTAGCTGAAGGGGCATCCGAAAATTGCGGTTTCTTGTTATACCCCAAGATGCTGCTATACTCCTTATGTTCTAGGAACCCCAAGAAGGGCACCCCCTATTGTCGGAAGTCCCCAAGTGTTCCCTGCTCTCTCTCCCGATGATGCCTGCAGCTGTCAGGCACAGGTCGGGCCGGGCTTGCAACCGGATACTTCCATCCGGATGCCAGGCCTTCAGCTCGGTTTTTGGGGCACTGGCTCACAGAATTTCTTGACTCGCCGAAGAAACAACCATTCCAAATTCCAAACCCGCGGGGCCAGTGACCCCAATAGAAAAGCACCAGAAGCCTCAGCCTGAACCTCAACCTGCCCCATAGGGGTTAGGGGTTTCGGGTTGGTTTCGGGTTTAGGGTTTAGGAAGTTTAGTGTTTAGGGTTTAGGGCTTAGGGTTTTTACAGGCTACCAAACGAAGAACCGTGAGCCAACAGAGTGCACCTGGTCGATTCCTGCAATCTCCTACGGTCCTACAAGGTGCGGCCCCCTAGCTATAAGTAGAGTTATAAGAGCCCTAAATTGGGTTACAAGGATCCTAAATTAGGTTTATAAGTCCCTTAACTACAGTTAGTAGAATAAGGGGGCCCCTCCTTGTACCCACAAGACTTCCAAAGACCCAAGACCTGTGCCAAATCCGCCTACCGCGCTATCCCGCTCGGCTTACAAACCGCACAGCCGAATTTTGCAGTGAGGCCTACAAGTTCGGGATATGGTCGTGGTAATGTTGGCAATGATCAGCAATCATGGGGACAAGTTGCAAGTCAGTCACATCTCAATAATGATAGTACAGTAACAACAACTTTAGGAGGAGATCCGAATAGAGCCATGATTCGGTTTCAGTACTGACTGAATATGATCCGTGTTTTGAAGCTCTCAGGGGAAGAGCTCGCCGCAGCAGCTGTTAAGGATGTGACGAGTGTGAAACAATTGAAGCAACATCTGCATGGTGTTTACGGCCTCCCGGTGAACATGCAACAGATCGTGCAGGATGGCCGCATTTTGCAAAACGCGGAGAAGCTAGATGCTCCCACTGTTGTGCAGCTCGTTTTGGTGCGGCAATCGCAGAGAGAAGTTGACAAGGCCCTATATTGGGGGATGATGACAGGCCACGTTGAGATTGTGCTTCTGCTTCTGGGGCTGGTGCCAACAAGGACTTGGTCTTTCACGGCGACACAGCTCTCACTGCTGCATGCGACAACGGCCAGTTTGAGATCGCACGCGTGCTCTTGGAAGCTCGAGCTTACGTGGACTTGCAGAACGGTCAGCGTGACACAGCGCTCACTTGTGCATGCAACAAAGGCCACGCCGAGATCGCACGTGTGCTTTTGGAAGCCGGCGCCGACTACATTCTAAA